ACTCGCACAGGCCTGGTTCTACGAGGCTGGCCAGCTCATGAGGGGGACATTCTGCAGATCAAGGTGATGGGCTCGGTTCCCGTCCACTCCTTACTGCCCAACCTCGGTTCATCACCTGGGCTCAAGGCCCACCCAGGGACAGGCTTGAGCTGGTGTCCCTTATATCTGCTCAAGGCCTGATGGGCAGGGAAGGTGGCTCTTCTGGGCCAACTCAGGTGCCAGCTGCACTACTGGGGCCTTGGCAGGAGACAGGCTGTGGAGGCGGGGACCAAGGGCAGAGCTGACCCTGCAGCTCCATGGAGATGTTCTAATGAGTAACCCTTGTCCATATTTGTCTTGCTTGGAGGGTCAGGGGTCGGGCCCTGTCCATGACCCAATTCAGGTTAAATAAAGCTCAGCTGGGAGGCTGTTTACTGCCCCCAGACCACTGAGCAGAGTCCATGCCCCCTGCTGGGCTGCTCTGGTGGGGGCAGGAGCAGGCCTGGGCATGGGGATCCTACTCTCCTCCACCCCATTTTCAGTCACAGGCCTCCGGACTAGTTAGCAGTCCAGCAGGGGAGGAGGGCTACTTGTGGGGAAGATTTCTACAGGCAACTGGAACGCTCTTCCCCAGCTTGGGTGGAGACCAGGGGACATGTGTTGTTGTTGCTGAGGCCAGGCTGTCCCCATCTCCCTTCAGATTTCAAGTATCTCTAAATTCTGACATTCTAAGAAAGTGTCAGAAAGGCTCTGGGATCAGCCTTGGTATTTATCTTGGTTCTGCCACTTACTAGTTCTATGATCTTATTAGGATTAATTAATTTCTGTGAGCCTCATTTTTTCTTCTGAAAAATGGGGACAATGGCAGCATCTCCCCCATAGGGTTGTCCTGAAGGTTAAATGTGGTCATTAATGTGGGCAGCATGCCTAGCATAATACCTGTGGATAGTAAGTTCTCAAATGAGAGAATGATTAGGTTAATGACACTGAATATATCAATGTTAACTATGGTTAATATGATGTGGCAGGGTGGCAGCCTGTCATCCCTCAAGATGGCCTGTCTGAGCTGGGCACTGTGGCTCATGCCTGTAATTCCAGTGGTGTGGGAGGCTGAGGCAGGAGGATTGCAAGTTAGAGGCCATCCTCAGCAACTTAGTGAGACCCTGTCTCTAAATAAAATATAAAAAAAGGCTTTGGATGTGGCTTAGTAGTTAAGTACCCCTAGGTCAATCCCTTGTACCACCCCCCACCAAAAAAAAAGGCCTGTCTCCCCTGGGCAATGTGGGAGGCAATGGGTGTACAGGAGGGTTCAGGCCGTTGCTGAGACTCTCCTCTTCTGTGGCAGGCAGTGGAAGGCAGTGTCCTGGTCAGCTCCTCCTCTGACCACTCCTTGACCGTCTGGAAGGAACTGGAACAGAAGCCCACACACCACTACAAGTCAGCATCCGACCCCATCCATACCTTCGATCTCTATGGCAACGAGGTGGTCACTGGCACTGTGGCCAACAAGATTGGTGTCTGCTCCCTGCTTGAGCCACCCTCCCAGGCTACCACAAAACTCAGTTCTGAGAACTTCCGTGGCACACTCACCAGCCTGGCCTTGCTGCCCACTAAACGCCATCTCCTGCTGGGCTCGGACAATGGTGTCATTCGCCTCCTGGCATAGGCTGAGGGACCAGTGGGCTGGTATCTCCCTAGAGTCTAGATCTTCAACCTTGTTCCCCCAGCAGCTCCCTCGAGGCTGCCCCCAGTCCCCTTGCCCTGCCAGCTAAGGCCTCCACCTGGGATCCCAGCCCCTGAATCCTCAAAGCTATGAGGCTGCCAGAAGGTCTCCCATTCAGGGCTTGGGAGATGCTGCTCCTAGTCAACGGGAAGCAAGGAGAGCAGGGAAGGCATCTCGTTTCTCCCCAGCTCTGCCCTCTGGATCCACAAGGAAGCTCCAGGAAGGGGAAGGGAGACTGGCCTTGCCAGCTAGTCTCTAGGAAAGCCCCTGCCCCTTTCTGGGCTCTCTCTGTCCCTGTCCCTCAAGAACAGGAAGCTGCCCCAGAGCAGGGCACTGATGGTGCTTGGATTCCAGCCTAAGGAGGGATGACCATGATCCAGGAGTTAAGGGCCTTGGTCTGGGGTTTAAGTGTTCACCCACCCTGCCCCAGAAAGAGGGCAGAACTGGACACAAAAGGTGGGCTGGGCCAGCTGGTGCCTGCCAGGAGTGACCTATGCCTTGTCTGCCCACCCCTAACCACAGTGTTTGTGCCTTGAGCTGAGGAGGTAGCCTCTGGGCCCAGAACCCCTGGCGGTGTCCAGGATCCTGAGAGGGGTGAGAAGACTCATCTCTGCATCTCAGGTCTCTCCCAGAGGACAGAACCAGTTGTCTCTGGGTCCTTATCTGGAGCAGACATGAGGACTGAGGCTCATGGCCCCTGCTGCCTCCTTACTATTTGCAATAGATGTAAATATTACAATAAATCCTTTGGAAGAGCCATGGAGTAGAGTGAGCCTTGTCTTTTTCTTTTCCTTTCTTCCCTTTCTTCCTTCCTTCCTTCCTTTTGGTACCAGGGATTGATCCCAGAGGTGCTTAACCACTGAGCCACATCATCAGCCTATTTTATTTTTTATTTTGAGACAGGGTCTCACTAAATTGCTTAGGGTCTCACTAAATTGCTAGGGCTGTCTGAACTTGCAAGCCTCCTAAGCCACTGGGATTACAAGCTTGCGCCACCCCATCTGGGTCTCTTTTTTTTTGAGACAAGGTATCACCATGTTTCCCAAGCTTGCCTCAAGGGATCCTGGTTGACCTCCCAAGTAGTTGGAGTTATAGTCGCACACCACCAAACCAAACTTATGACTTGTCTTAATGGTGGTGGCAGGGTGGGGACAATTGAGACTCAGCAGCTGGGTCTAGGAGATGAAGAACAGGGCAGGAAGGTGGGAAGGCAGCCTGATTGTTATTGCTCTTTGGGTGGCAGAGGGTGCAGGGCTTCTGGTTTGTGCAGCCTCAAATCAGTTTTCCAAACCCTCATTCTTAGGAAGAGTAAGCAAGTCTTGTTCCTGATGAGGTAGGACACTTGTGGAGACTGCAACCCTCTCTCTCCTCTTTCCATGTCCTGACTTCTGGCTCACACTGAATGCAGCCAGCCAGGATCTGGGGTTTGTAAGGGGTAGGGGTGGGTCTCTATATAGGCTTGTGCAGCCTCACCTTCCCTCCCCTTGGGATGGGGAGGCAGCTGTGGGGGAAGGATGGGACACTGGAAGCGGGAAACTGGATTTGACTCTGGATCCAGCTCTGTGTCCTTGGGCAGGGCACGTAGCCTCTCTGTGCTGGACTGACCAGGGATAATCTCCACTGGGAGGTCTGACATAGTGCCAGACCCCTGTGTGTCCTGGATCGGACCTGGTCTTGGCTAACCAGACCCAGCGTCCTCAACTGTTTCCTTCTGAACGTCCTTTCTCCAGGCTCAGGTGGATCCAAATCCACAGAGGCTTTGGGTAACTGTTTCAAGACTAGATACCCCTGTAGAAAAGGGGCTTCTGGCACTCATATCAATGTTTAACCGGATGTTCAGGTCAATATTTACCAGAAGAGAAAGCTATCTGAACAGGGGTTGGCTAAGAGCAAAGGTCCTGGTGGGAGGGGAGGGCTAGGCTGGGCTGGTGGAGCCCGCCAGAGCGTGGGGAGCACCCGAGTTGGGCTAGAGGAACATCGTGTGCAGCAGCAAGGAACCTGTCGAGGTAGGGTGGAGGGGTGGCTCAGCCTGCCCCTGGGGCAGGAGTGGAGGTGGGGAGCTGCTTACTTGGCTGAGGGGTCTGGGCTGAATTTATTCAGGAAGCCTGTAGTTTTGCAGCCTCCTGGGGTAATGAGGAGTCAAGGTGGGGTTCCAGAAGAAGTCCCTCTGGGACTTGAAAGATAAGGTCTTTCTTGCTAGGAAGAGTCAAATGCCCAGGTTGGAGACCAGGCTGGCCAAGGGCCCTTGTATGTGATGGGGGTGGGCTCAGGAATGATAGAAGGATCCTCTAGAAGGATTGGCCCTGAGATAGGGGAGGGATAGAGATGGGGGATGTGAGACCATCTCTGATGCCAAGGCTGGGGCTGATTTATCCTCCCCTAAATCAAGACATGCTACTGGGCGTGGTGGCACATGCCTGTAATCCCAGCGGCTTGGGAGGCTGAGACAGGAGGATAGCGAGTTCAAAGCCAGCCTCAGCAAAAGCAAGGCGCTAAGCAATTCAGTGACACCCTGTCTCTCAATAAAATACAAAATAGGGCTGGGAATGTGGCTCAGTGGTCGAGTGCCCCTGAGTTCAATCCATGGTTACTCCCCACCCCCCGCAAAAAAAAGACATGCCCATTCCCACCTATCAGCCTGATTTTCCTGAACTGGCCTGGAACAGAGCAGGGGGCGAGGCTTGTGATTCCCGTAAGTCCAAAGGTGGCTGGACCAGTCATTCATTGGGCTCTGCTGCTGGGTCAAGGAGGCAGTCCTCTGTCCACCCCACCACACCTGCTGAGCCTCAGGGCTTCACGGTCCTGTCCACTATTGTTGGCAATACCCGACCAACCTGAGAAAGGCTGACCAAACGGACAGCAGGCTGGGTAGGCTCTCTGGTGTGGGAGCCCTTCCGAGAGGCTCAGGACAGGCTTCCCACCGTAGTGGCTCTGGAGCTAGCCTGACAGATTTCTTCCACAGAGGGCCAGGCCTTGTACTCAGCATTTATAAAGACTGTCTTTTTTGGTTCTCACAATCCACATGGGAGGAGGCGGGGACTTCTGCCACCATTTTCCAAGATAAGGCAGGTACCTGAGGCCTCCAGCCAAGAGGCAGAGCCTAGATGCAAACCCATGTCTGATGAACAATGCAAGCCCTAGAAGAATGAGAACTCTTTAACAACTCCCGATGAACCAAACTGTCCTTAGTGAATGAAATGGGAAGACCTAGAAATGACAAAGGCGAAAACAGTTGGAGGGAATCCCATCCTTCAGATTGTGTTTTTAGTGTGCATCCTGGTTCTGTAGCTTGGCTGAGTCAGGGTATGTGTGGGTAGGATTCCACCACCTGGTGTGGGAGCTTGAGGTGGAAACTAAGCCTTCCTGTCCCTGACACAGGAACATGACACTGCTCCGAGGGCTCCTGGTGCTCAGCTTGTCTTGCCTGCAAGGCCCCTGCTCCGTGGTGAGGTTGGGCTGAGTTCTGGGTGGGGCTGGTCAGTCAAGTTGAAGAAGTGGCTGGTGGGGAAAAGCCGTGGGGCTGAAGGGGTTTGGGTCCAGGGAGGGCTTGGCTCAAGGGGGCTCCCCTACCTCTCCTCACCCTTTTCTCAACAGTTCTCTCCTGTGAGCGCCATGGAGCCCTTGGACCAGCAAGTAATGGGCGATGAGGTGCATGTGAGAGAAGGGAGGACCTGAGGGGTCTCGCCTGTGGCTTGGGCAGGGTGTGGGACCTGTAGAGAGGATCGCTCTCCATCTGCTTCCTCCTTCTGCAGTCAATTATCGGGCAGGCCCAGGAGAAGCTGTCCCCGCTTGCCCTCCTCAAGTTGGGCAACCAGGTACAACCAGGTGGGGCTGGGGAAGAGTGGGCAGGGCCAGAGGGAGAAAGGCCAATCAGCAGGGGTGAGGAAACTGGGAGGTGTGGCCGTGAGGCTGAACCTCAGGTGTTCAGAGGCCAGAAGGGATCCCGTAGGAAGGACCCTCAGGTGGCCTCCCACTACCCCAAGGGCTGGGACAAGGCCCTGCCATAATCAGGCACAGGGTCTATGAAGGAGACATTCAACGTAGTACCTGGAGCTGACGCTTCTGACCTTACTGCCCACGATCTGTCCTTGTAGGAGCCTGGTGGCCTAACTGCCCTGAAGAGGTCCCCAGGAGACTGCAAAGGTGCCCCAACTCCAGAGGAGACTCGCAGGCTGGCTCAGGCCATAATGTCTTTCACCGCTGACTTGTTCTCCCTGGTGGCTCAAAGTTCCACCAGCCCCAACCTCATCCTGTCGCCCTTGAGTGTGGCCCTGGCTCTGTCTCACCTGGCACTAGGTACTGTGGCAACACCTATCCAGACCAGCAGAACTGAGAGGCCAGTAGGAACTCACTACTCCAGAGGTTATCAGTGGATGGCTCCTTCATCAGGGTCACATGGACATTTGGTAAAAATGCAGATTCCTGGGCCCTCACCAGTCTCTGTGAATCAGATTCCCAGGGATTGGGCCTGAGAATGTGTTTATTTACAAGTTTCTCTAGTGATTTTTGTGCAAGACTTTGATAGCTATGATATCTCCCACTGGACTCGAGGGTCTCCTTGTGGGAAACTGAGGTCCAGAGAGGAAAGTTAACTTGAGCAAGATGAGGCCAGTCTGTGAGCAGCATAGATGAAAGTAGCCTTCAGGAGTTCTGTCAGTCAGTGGATACAGAGAGAAAGCATGTGCTCCGTGGGCGTACTCATCGTGGGTATCTGAGAGGGCTGGAATGGGAAGTGGGGGTGGAAAAGAAGCCCCCACCAGGGCCTCAGCCCACATGGTCTCCTCCAGGTGCTCAGAATCAAACACTGCAGAGCTTACAACAGGTACTGCATGCAGACTCAGGATCCTGTCTCCCCCATCTGCTGAGCCACCTCTGTCAGAACTTGGGCCCTGGGACCTTTCGATTGGCTGCCAGAATGTACCTGCAGAAAGGTAGTGCCCTGCATGGGAGAATGGTGAGGGAGATGGATTTGGCCTCACGTGATCAGTTGGAATATTGGTGGCTATGGAGGCCCCAGTCCCTGGGAACAGCTTGTGTGGCCCTCTGTGTTTAGGATTTCCCATCAAAGAGCATTTCCTGGAGCAATCAGAACAGCTCTTCCGTGCAAAGCCCATGAACCTGGTGGGAAGGCAGGAGGATGACCTGGCGAACATCAACCAATGGGTGAAGGAGGCCACAGAGGGAAAGATTGAGAATTTCCTCTCAGAGCTCCCAGATAATACCGTATTGCTTCTCCTCAATGCGATCCACTTTCAGGGTACACTTCTCTTCTCGAGTCCCTGCCTAGAAGCTCTCCCCTTGCCCTATAGGCTGAGTGGGGTTGTGCAGGCTTTCTTCTGAGGGTCTCTTTTCCATCTCAGGCTGGGCCATGAGGCAAGGGGCTCTCTGGGTGTAGTAGGGAAGGGGCTCAGAAACTGGGATGAGGCGGTTGAAGATAGAGTATCTTGGGAGAAAACGGGGGCCGGAAAGACCCAGGGGGGTTCCTGGGAGCATTGCAGGGGGAGGGGACTACAAGCCCAAATTTAGAAATGTGGGAAGAAAACTCAAATTAACAGTACCCCCTGGGGTCTTGGCCTCTACTTAATTGACCCTTGACTTGGTTCCAGGTAGGATAGGCAAGAGCCTGGTCCTAGGCTACATGGCCTCTGCCCTCTGCTTGGCTGCAGGTTTTTGGAGGACCAAGTTTGACCCAAGCCTCACCCAGAGAGACTCCTTCCACTTGGACGAACAGTTTACAGTGCCAGTGGACATGATGCAAGCCCATTCCTACCCCCTGCGCTGGTTCTTGCTGGAGCAGCCTGAGATACAGGTCACCCTTGCTGGGCCTGGGTGTTGGGAGGCAGGGAAGGAGAGAGGCAGGCTGTGGAGCAGCTACAGGGGTGAAGGGGATGCCCCGCTTTCCTTGCAGTCTTAACCCTGAGGCAGGAGGCTCTGAAAGGCAGCACTGTGACTCCACCCAGGAGAATCAAGGCTGCAGGATCTTTGAAGTTTATTAAGTCAATGAAATTATACTGAGCATTTGCTGTGTGTGATACTGTTCTAGACAGTGGGTTTTAGTGGAGATCAGGGTCCTACTCTTAGGAGGGAAGATACACAGTGCATGAGCAAATATAAATCAATACCATCAATTGTTTTTATTTTAATTTATATTAATTTTTTTTGCGGGGCAGGGGGTACCAGATATTGAACTCAGGGGTGTTTAACCACTGAGTCACATGCCCAGCTTTTAAAAATTTATTTAGAGACAGGGTCTCACTGAGTTGCTGAGGTTCTCACTGCATTGCTAAGGCTGGCTTTGAACTCTCAATCGTCCTGCCTCAGTCACTGGGATTACAGGCGTGTGCCACTGCACCTGGCATACAATCATTTTGGATAGAGTTAAGTCCTATAAAGGAAAAAAGGAAGGAAGGAAGGGAGATCTGTAGTAACGTGGTCAGGGAAAATTATTTCAAGAGGAGGCACTGACTTGAGATCTAGATGCCTTTTGGTGATATGGGTTTATTCCGAGGACCTGAAGTTTGTGGGGCAGCAGAGAGACAATCCCAGCAGCCATGTAGCTACTCAGTGCCTTAGTAACCCCCAAGCCTTGGAAATTCCACCTGCTCTCTCACACAGTGCTGCTTAGAAGGAAGGATCTAAACCAGGCACCATGGCTTAGGCCTGTGGTCCCAGAAATTTGGGAGACTGAGTCAGGAGGATCACAAATTCAAGGTCAGCCTGTGCAACTTAGTGAGGCCCTCAAGAACTTAGCAAGATGGGCTGGGGTTGTGGCTTAGTGGTAGAGCACTCGCCTAGCATGTGTGAGGCACTGGGTTTGATCCTCAGCACCACATTAAAAAAAAAAAAAATGAAATAAAGATATGTGTGTCCACCTACAACTAAAAAAATAAATATTAAAAAAAAAAGAACTTAGCAAGACTCTGTCTCAAAATTTAAAAATAAATAAATTTTAAAAATGGATATGATAAATTATGGTATAATGGTATATTAAGAATTCTGTAAAAATAAATAAATAAATAAAATTAAAAACAAAACAAAAAAAAATGGAAGGATCCAAGTCTGGCATATCGGTGCATGTCTGTAATCCCAGCAATTTGGGAGGCTGAGGCAAGAGGATGGCAAGTTTGAGGACAGACTGGGCAATTTAGTAAGATCCTGTCTCAAAATCAAATTTTGAAAAGGTCTAAGAGTATAGCTCAGTAGTAGAGCACTTGCCTAGGATGGCTTCTCTCCATCTCATCCTGAAAGAAGGCCTACTCTTCCTTCATTCTTCATCTCCATTTCCCCATCCTCCTTAACCTTCCTCTTTCTCAGGCCCAGGAAACCAGACCTAGTGCTCCTCTCCGTTTGGGTAGGAGGCCTGCACACAGGTGCTCTGCTAGAACCTGAGGAGTTTCAGCTGCAAAAGCACCTTGAGCCTAGTGCCTTAGCTGCAGGAACTCTCACCCTGAAACTCAGTGTATACACACAGCTGACAAAATCACTGCATGAAGTGAGAGGGAGAGGGGAGGGGACTACCCTTTGCAGTGGCTCCTGCACAGAATTCTAGGTTAGTTTAAAAACCAGTGACCCAGCTGGGCATGGTGGCACACGCTTGTAATCCCAGCAGCTCGGGAGGCTGAAGCAGGAGGATCATGATTTCAAAGCCAGCCTCAGCAATGGTGAAGTGCTAAGCAACTCAGTGAGACCCTGTCTCTCAATAAAATACAAAAAAGGGCTGGGGATTTGGCTCAGTGGGTCCAGTGCCCCTGAGTTCAATCCCCAGTACTAAAAAAAGAAAAGAAAAATAAAAACAGTGACCCCCTCACATGGAGAAGATCAGAAGCAAAGACAGGTGGTTCTTTAACCCATTCACATGGCTAGATGTACAAGATGAAGAGAGAGACATTATTTATTTCTAGTACTGGGGTTAACACCAGAAGAGCTTTACCATTGAGCTACAGCATCCCCAGCCCTTTTTTAATTTAAAAAAAAGTCTTTGGACAGTTTCTTACTAAGTTAGAGCCTCGCTAACTTGCTAAGGCCAGCCTCAAACTTGTGATCCTCTTGCTTCAGCCTCTCAAGTCACTGGAATTAGTCATGGGCCACTGCACCCAGTGAGATAGCCTTTATTTATTGAGTGCAGCCTGAGTGCAGACACTGCTAGAATAAAAGCATTATCTTGTCCCGTCTTATGTTAGCTTGCAGTGGGGCAGGAGATGTTGCTCCACTTCCCAGGTGAGGAGGTAAAGGCTTGATCAGGAGAGACTTGAACCCCAGTCTGTCTGTCTCAAAAAAATACATTCTGGACCAGACTCCAGGTAGGTTTGGATGCTTTCTGATCCTCATATTCTCTTTTTCCTCTTTGTAGGTGGCTCATTTCCCTTTTAAGAACAACATGAGCTTTGTGGTGATGGTGCCTACCTACTTTGAGTGGAATGTGTCCCAGATACTGGCCAACCTGAGCTGGGACACTCTGCACCAGCCCTTGCTGCGGGAGAGGCCCACCAAGGTGCGGCTGCCTAAACTGCATCTGAAACACCACCTGGACTTGGTGACCACACTCAGCCAGCTGGGTAAGGAGGCTTGGCGTGGGGCTGGGCAAGGAGAAGACTGAGTCAGAGCTGGCTCTGAATCCTGACGTTTTCTAGAGGTTGGGGGAGGGTGAGAGTGTATTATATGAGTCCTTTGTCCTTCTGTCCTGGGGTGAGCTGGGGCAACCCAGGGTATGAGGAGCTACAGTACTGCCCAAGAGAGAGCACTGCAAAGACTCCTAATAGAGAGCCCAGGGCAGCATGTGAGCCTTGCTGACTCTCCTGGAAGGGGTTGGAGAAGCTGAGGTGCATCTACCTATCAGCCATTTGCTAAGCAACTTCTATATTCCAGGCACTGTGCTAGGCACTGAGAACCCATACTATAAAGAATGCTCAGTCTAATGAGGTGGGCCCCAGGGATTCAGGAATTTATAGGCCATCGTAAGTGATTAAAGACACAGGGCTTTTCTCCGGCTCACCCAGGGGAATACTGAGCAGGTACCCACTCTAGATTTTGGGGCTGGGGATCAGGGAAGACTTCCTAGAGGAAGTAATATTTAAGTTAAGACTTGAAGGTTAAACAGGAGTTAAGTAGCAATCTGTGGGTTCAAGGTGTTCCCTGGCCAAGGTGCTAGACAGGCCCAGGCAGCCTGGGGGAGAGAGGGTGGTCCTGACCAGCTGTCTGCTGCCCTGCACAGGCCTGCAGGAGCTGTTCCAGTCCCCAGACCTGCGTGGGATCTCAGATGAGAGGCTAGTGGTATCCAGTGTGCAGCATCAGTCCACGCTGGAGCTCAGTGAGGCTGGTGTGGAGGCAGCTGCAGCCACCAGCACGGCCATGTCCCGCATGTCCCTCTCCTCCTTCAGCGTGAACCGCCCCTTCCTCTTCTTCATCCTCGAGGACACCACAGGCCTGCCCCTCTTTGTGGGCAGTGTGAGGAACCCCAACCCTGGCGCACAGCCTGAGCTCCAGGAGCAGCAGGATTCCCCTGACAACAGGGACTCCTTCCAGGACCAGAAAGCCTTCCTCCACAGAGATAAGCCCTTTGGCCCTGACTTGAAACTCATGCCACCCTCCGAGGAGGATTACTCTGAGTTTAACAGCCCCAAGTGAGGGCCCTGGTCACCAGCATTCTGAGTCCCCACCCAGACCAGCTCTCAACTTGTGTGACTCTTTCCAACCAGCTTTGTGGGATGGGGGGGGGGGGCGGACTGGGTGGGCCTTCTGGGAAAGGGGAGGAGCCATTCTCTCCCAGCTCTTCCTGGGGAGTCTGGGGAATGGGCTGGGGCTGGAAGCCGGCAGGCATTAGGGACTGTTGGGGTTGGATCCCTCTTCATTTCTTCCAAAGAGGCTCAGAGGATGTCCATTTGGGAGCTGGGGTGGTAGGACAGTGGTGGATCCAGTTTTGTCAGGAAGCAAACTAGGTTAGTCCCTAAATCAGCCGGGACACTGGAGGGAGGGCTGTCTTTGGCCTTATCCCTGAACTCCCTGGCTGGGGAGAAGAGAGGCCCTGGTGGTGGCTCAGAAGGCGGAGCATTGCCTTGGGTCCCGCCTCTGCCTCTCATGGGACCTTGTATCCTTCTCCATAGGTCAAGGTTGACATTACCTCTGATGTAACCTGCTAAAGGCCTACCAGCCTCCAGCCCATCCCAGATGTCCTGCCCGCCCCCGGTCTCCTGTCCATACACCTTCATCCTTAGAGATGCCAACACTGCCAGGATTCCCCTTCCTTCCTCTCTCCTGTCTTCCTCCTCTGCCGGGAGCTCAGGGGCTGAGGCAGGGAAGGGTCTCATTAGCTCTCTCAGGCTCTTTTGTAAAGTTTTTGTAGTGATTTTTATGCCACCTGAATAAAGAATGAATGGGCTGGGCTGTTTAGATGTCACTGTTCTGAGTAGGGCCGTAGGGCAGAGAGCAAGTGGGGGCAGAGGGGAGGCAGGGAGGCGGCCACAGAGCAGACTGCAGGGAGCCCTCTCTGTGCCACGTTTGGTCTCTGGCCAAATGCCAGTCCTCTCCAGGGCCACCTCCATGCCAGCCTGGCTCTGCTCTCGGCCTTTTCCTCTCCACATGCCTCAGGCAGCCGGCAACAAAGGCAGCTCAGAATAGCCCCGGCCTCCTGGTTTGCGAGAACTGGCAATTAGGGGGTTTGTGGGGCTTTTAATTACACATCAGCCCCTCTGCCAGGAGCTGGCGCCCGCCAGCCGGGGGCAGGCTGACAGCTGGAGGCCATCATGCTTGAGGATTTGGGGAACAAGGTTGGGGGTACCTTGGCACAGGGCTGCAACTTCCTCTGTGAGAGTCCAGGAACTGGGGGCAGCACGGGTGTCTAAGTGGGCGGGGCCTGTGGGGGTGGCCACGCCTCCCTGCTGGGCCTTCGTCTGTGAGTGCAGGGTGTCCATTTGGCAGCAGCCCCTTGGGTCCTAAAGTGCCGTGGTTGAGAGCAAGTGCCTGGAGGTCAGAGAGACCTGGCTTCTCCACGCTTATGAGCTAGCAGCGTGGGGAGGTGGATAAAGAGAGAAGCGCATGGTGTCAGAGAGTTGCTGGGACGGATCCCTAGGGCTCCAGGGCCATGGTGAAAATGTGGTTTTTGTCTTGGGAGAGGTAAGAAGTCACTGGAAGGTTAACTCACCCATCAACCAACTTCAGTTTTACCTCTGGTCTTTCACAGTGCTCTCCTCCTCTCCATTTCAGCTACCAGTTCCCAGGCCACTAGTCATCACTGTCCAGGGTCACTGCCATTGCCTGAGTCTCCCTGATGCTGATCTGCTGCCTTAATGGTATCCTCTGTCCTGCAACTCTTTACTGAGCACCTCCCAAGTGGCCAGTCTCTGCAAATGCAGCAATAATAAAGAAAATAGGATCTCCATTACCCTGAGCCCAAGCCCAAGTGGTGGAGTGGTCTAGATAGTAAGTAAAAATTCAAGATAAAGTTCAGCGATGAAGCCTGGAGTGAACAGGAGGCACAGCAGCTCATCAGACTGTGGGACTGTTCCTTGTTGCCTTCCTACTGAGAGAAAAAGCAAAACAAAACAAAAACAAGATCCAGTAAAAAGCCCCGTGCAGTGGCACATTCCTGTAATCCAGCCACTTGGGAGGCTGAGGCAGGAGGATCTCAAGTTTGAGGTCTGCCTCAGCAACTTAGTGAGACTCCATCTCAGGAAGAAGAAAAAGAGAAGATCCATTAAACAGTATGAGAACTGCTTTAAAGAAAACTCACATGGCAGTGCGGTGGCACACGCCTATAATCCTAGTGGCTCTGGAGGCTGAGGCAGGAGGATCACAAGTTCAAAACCAGCTTCATCAATTTAGTGAGGCCCTAAACAACTCAGTGAGACCCTGAATAAAAAAGAAAAAAGGGCTGGGGATGTGGCTCAGTGGTAGAATACCCCGGGGTTTGATTCCCTGGTACAAAAAGAAAAAGAAAAAGAAAACTCACATGTGTAACTAGGAAAGTCCTTTCCAAGGGTGACATCTGAGCAGCAAGACAGAAATTAAAATGACCTGACCATTTAGAAAGACCTGATCATTTAGTGCTCAGGATGAGGCAACAGTCAGGGGCAAAGGCCCTGGGGCACAAAAGGATTTGGATTTTTGGAGAGACAGAAGGAAGGACAGTGTGATGAGAGTGTGAGAGGCCAGAGAAAAAATAAAAAGATGAAACTAGAGCTGGATGGAGTCAGATCATGTGGGTCCTTGCAGGCCAGAGCCAGGGGTTTGCATTTTATCTCAAGTACAAAGGGAAGCTGTGCAAGAGTGTTTCGCTTTAAATTTTTTAGTTGAAATATAATATGAAAAATATACAATTGTAGCTATATATAAGCTTAATATATTTTTTTTTCTCCTGCACTACTGGGGAATAAAACCCAGGGCCTTGCACATGCTAGGCAAGTGGGCTCTACCACTGAGGACATTCCCAGCCCCTAATTAATATATATATTTTTTAATGTGATTTTTTTTTAGAGAGAGAGAGAGAGAGAATTTTTTTAATATTTATTTTTTAGTTTTCGGCGGAGATAACATCTATGTTTGTATGTGGTGCTGAGGATCGAACCCGGGCTGCATGCATGCCAGGCGAGCACGCTACCGCTTGAGCCACATCCCCAGCCCCCTAATTAATATTTTCATGAACCAAATATCCCTGTGCAACCAGCACCCCAAACAAGAAACAGACTTCACATTCCTGTCTCTGGTGACAGCAATGAGTTTTTACTTGCTTTCAGGCTTTAGATAAAGGGATCTCACAGTCTGTGCTCTCTCGTGTCTGTCTGGCTTCTTTAGTGCAACCTCATGGTTGTGAGAACCATCTGTGTTTTGGAGGATGGCAATACTCTGTCACTGTGGAAGCCTTTTAATTGCAGGATGTCGTGATCTGAGTTGAGTTCTGGAAGGCTCCCTTGGCTCCCATGTGGGGAACAGACTGGAATGATAGGCGAAGGAAGATGGGTAGACAGGCAGGAGATGAAGGTACCTTGGCCCAGGTGCTGGCTATGGAAATGGGGGAAGCAGTCAGAATCGAGGTGTATTTCTCAGATGGACATTATAGAATTTGTGGGTAGAGCCAGGCATGGTGGCACATGCCTGTAATCCCAGCTACTTGGGAGGCTGAGGCAGGAGGATCACAAATTTGAGACCAGCCCAGGCAACCCTGACTCAAAAAAATAAAAAAAGGCCTGGGGATGTAGCTCACTGGTAAAGTGCCCCTGCGTTCAATCCCCAGTACTGAATAAAAGAAAAAGGAGAAGGAGAAGAAGAAGGATGACTTGTGGATAGATGGTGTGGGAGATGAGAGAATGAGAAGGAAGACTCAAGGATGTGGGGCTCATCGTTAAATTCCTTGGTCTTTTTTGTTGTTGTTGGGTACCAGGGGGATTGAACTCAGGGGCACTGGACCCACTGAGCCACATCCTCAGCCCCATTTTGTATCTTATTAGAGACAGGGTCTCACTGAGTTGCTTAGTGTCTCCCCATTGCTGAGGCTGGCTTCGAACTCACGATCCTACGGCCTCAACCTCCTGAACCACTGGGATTACAGGCGTGCTCCACCACACCCAGCAAATTCTTAGGCCTTTTATTTGTTGTTTGTTCTGTGGTCCTGGGGATGGAACCCAGAGCCTGACACATGTTCTCACTGGGCTACATCCCCCACACTCGGTTTTTTTTGTTTTGAGGAAATAGATTAGTAACAGTCCCTTTTACTGTGATGGGACGCAGAGTGAAGGACAATTATAGGGTGGGTTGGAGAGTTCCATTTTGAACAAGTTATGGTGGAAATACCACAGGAACACAGGGTGATTGGCTGTACATTCCAGTTGGCTTGGAAAGTTTGGGTTATGCCTGTGGTTCTACCATAATTAGTTAGCACCCCCTTTTGCTTTTAGAGGTGTCCCTGTTTAAATGATCAGTTATAGGTTCATCGTACTTACCTGGCATCCATGTGGACATGGTAGGAGTGCAATTGCTGGGTCAAGTAGACAATTGGATATTTGGATCAGAAATAGAAGTGCGTAGCTGAGAGCATGTAAAGTCATAGGGTCTGGGTAGAGGTCATCCTTAGCATGTGCAAGGTCCTGGGTTTGATCCTTAACTCCCCACCAAAGTCATGGAACTATAGGAAGCCACTTAAGGGGAGGTGATGCTAATAGAGAAGAGGGGGTCCCAGGGTCAAGCCAGCAGAAGAGACAGAAAAGATGAGGTATCGTGAGGTAGAGAGAATGGAGGGGCATGGAGTATGGATTTCAAGGAAGGAGAACGGTCCATTAGGGCTGGGGATGTGGCTCAAGCGGTAGCGCGCTCGCCTGGCATACGTGCTCCCTGGGTTCGATCCTCAGCACCACATACAAACAAAGATGTTGTGCCCGCCGAAAACTTTAAAAATAAATAAATAAATATTAAAAAAAAAGAGAGAATGGTCCATTGCTGCCTGCTGTCAAGGACAGAGGTGTCCCCTTGGTGCTGAACACCAGGTCATCCAGGAAGGTGGCAACAGCAGTTTTAAAGAATAGTGGGCACAGGAGCAAGGCGTTTGGAAGGAAATGGGACCTGAGAATGTGTAGATACATGAGTAAATAACTCTTTCCATTGTGGCTGTGGAGGAGACCAAGAAATGGGTATGACTTTAGGGGATGTGGCCTAAAGAGATGTCTTTTTGATTTTTTTAATTTAAAAAAATTGGGGGGAGGTACTTGGGATTGAACCCATGGGGCACTCTATCATTGAGCCCCACCCCCATTCTTTATTATTATTTAACTTTTGAGACAGGGTCTGGCTGAGTTTTACAGGCTGGCCTTGAACTTGCGATCTGCCTACCTCAACCTCCCAGGTAGCTGGGATTATAGATGTGTGTCAGTGTGCTCAGCTTCACTATGTAAATTTCAAATCCCTGAATGATATATAGTTTGTCTTGCATCTTTTGAAACCTTACATAAAGGTATCAGACTGTTCATTTCTTTCTTCAATTTGTGCCCCTCCACCTTGTAAGAGAAGTCTGTTTGGATATATGTGGTTTAACTTTGTTATTTTTCATGGTTGTAAATTTTTCCCTCTTTTCAAATATAATAGTTACTTTGTTTTGTTTTTTCAGGCCTGGGCATTTAACCCTGGGGTGCTCCAACAATGAGCTATATCCTCAGCTCTTTTTATTTTTTTAAATTTTGAAAACGGTTCTTGCTAAGTTGTTGAGGCTGATCTTGAATTTATGATCCTCCTGCCTCAGCCTTCTGAGTAGCTGGGATTACAGGAGGGTGCCACCTCACCCAGTCCTGTTCTGTTCTGTTTTTGAGACTGGGTCTTGCTATGTTGACCAGGCTGGTCTTGAACTCTTGGGAAAAAGTGATCCCCTGCCTCAGCTGTCAGAGTAGTTGGGACTACAGGTGTGTGCCACTGTAGCTGGCTTGCTTAGGTACCTTTTGACTCCATGGGGGAAAAAAAAATCTAAGTTTTTTTTTTTTTTTTTAAGAATTAAACGCTTCCCATTATAATTGGTTCTCAAGGACATATATATGGTGTGGTGATGTGCTGGATGTCTTTTGGAATAACTGTAATAGTTATGGATGTTGCACAACTTGGTGTCTTCAAAAACACCATCCAAGCTGGGTGTGGTGGTGGCATGCCTGTAATCCCAGCAACTGGGGAGGCCGAGGCAGGAAGATCACAAGTTCGAGGCCAGCCTCAGCAGTTTAGGAAGGCTCTAAGCTACTTAGCAAAATCTTGTCTCAGAAAAAAAAAAGGGTTTGGGGGATGTGGCTCGGTGGTTAAATGCCTCTTGGTTCAATCCTCAGTACCAAAATAAATAATAACTAAATATTTTGAAAACTAAAAAATTTTAAAAAAAAATTTAAAAGAAAGGGCTGGGGATGTCGCTTAATGGTAGAGTGCCCCAGGGTTCAATCAATCCCCAGTACTGCAAAACAAAACAAAACAAAAAATATACTGGTTGGGCATAAGAGATCCTAGTTATCCACCTCTCCGCTAATACTTGACATTGTCACATGTTTAATTCTGCCAATCCAATGAGTGTAAAATAGAATTTTCTATTTGTTTTTATGGTACTGGGGATTGAATCCAGGGGTGCTTTACTATTGAGCTATACCCCCAGCTCTTTTTAATTTTTATTTTGATAAGGAGGCTTGTTAAATTTCTGAAGCTGGCCTTGAATTTGAGATTTTACTGCCTCAGCCTCCAAGTTGGTGGGAATACAAGAGTGTGCCACTGCACCCAGCTCTGTATAACTTTTTTTAAAAATACCTTTATTTTGTTTGTTTGTTTATTTATTTATTTATTTATTTTTATGTGGTGCTGGGGATTGAACCCAGTGCCTCATGCATGCTAGGCAAATGCTCTACCACTGAGCCACAACCCCAGCTCTTGGTATAGCTTTTACTGCCTTTGAATTTTAAATCATGTAAACAAAAAGCCTGTTCAAAATTAAGTAAATAGAGCTGGGTGCAGTGGCGCATGCCTGTAACCTCAGTGATTGGGGAAGCTGAGGCAAGAGGATCACAAGTTCGAGGCCAGTCTTAGCAATTTATCAAGACCCTGTTTTAAAATAAAGAATAAATTTTTAAAAAGGACTGCATGGGGCTGGCGTTGTGGCTCGGTGGTAGTGTACTTGCCTAGTATGTGGAAAGCACTGGGTTTGATTCTCAGCCCCACACACAAATAAATAAAATAAAGGTCCATCGACAACTAAAAAATATTTAGGAAAAAAAAAAAAAAAGGACTGCAGTTATAGCTCAGTAGTAAGGTAGCTCTGGGTTCAATTCCCAGTCTAAAAAGAAAAAAATGGGGATATAGCTCAGTTGGTAGAGTGCTTGCCTCACATGCACAAGGCCCTGGGTTCAATCCCCGGCACCACAAAAAAAAAAAAGTAAATAGGATATAGTTCAGTGGTACAGCACTTGTATAGTATGCATGAGACCCTGGGTTCAATCCCCAGAACCACACAAAAAAGTAAATTTTAATAATATATTTTATTTAGCCTAATATATGTAACTAATGTGAAATGTTGGAGATACGTTTTTCTCATATAAAATATCTGAAATTTCACATTCACTTTACATTAAAGCAAGGCACAGGTGGCTAGTAGGCACTGTTAGTAGATGGTGCAGCTGTAAAGATGGCTGTGTAGAATGTGCCACATTACGTAGGAACAATCTATTTTCACTGTGCAGTGAGTTTCTAGAGGGTGGGCCCTGAGTCTCATTCCTCTACAACACTCCTCCACTGTGGGCAGGGGCTGGGGCTCAGTGGTAGAGCCCTTGGTTAGCGTGCGTAAGGCACTGGGTTGGATCCTCAGCACCACATAAAAATAAACAAATAAAATAAAGGTATTCTGTCCATCTACAACTACAAAAAAAAATTTTTTTTTTTTTTAAATACTCCTCCACTGAGTCTGTAGCATGGTGATTTGCTAGAGGTGCTCTACAAATTTTTGTTGGAAGAGACTGAACTCTGACCGTTGGCACACTTTTTTCTATAAAGCTGAAACTTGCCCACTAGAAAGTGGTACAGGGACTCCAGCTCTGCTCCCTAGGTCTTTATATGAGAATACACATAGATTCCTGTAAGTTTTTTTTTTTTTTTTTTTTTTTTTCTTTTTTTTTTTTTGAATCCAGGGAGTGTTCTACCATTGAGCTACACCTGGAGTTCAGCCACTCCCTCTTTTGGTATTGGGATTGAACCCAGGGTGCTTTCCCACTGAGCTACATCCCTGCCCCTTTGTTTGTGGGTTTTTAAAAAAATTTTTTGGTAGTTATAGATGGACAGGTGCCTTTATTTTATTTGTTTATTTTTATGTGGTGCTGAGGATCCAACCCAGGGCCTCAAGCATGCTAGGCAAGCACTCTACCACTGAGCTACAGCTACAGCCCCTTTTATTTGTGTTTTGAGACAGGGTTTCTCTAAGTTGCCTAGGCTGGCTCCAAACTTTGGATCCTCCTGCCTCAGCCTCCTTAGTGCTGGAATTATAGGCACTCATTATAGTACCCAGCAGTTTTCTCTTTTATGAACTTAATATCCAAGAGTACTCCCCTTTCCTTCTTTGATATCTCCTTCTCTGAATAACTATTGGACTTTCTCATTCTAGGACTCATATCCACTTAGAAAATAATTTGTTATATAGGCTGAGCATCCGAATATCTGAAATCTAAAATGCTCCAAAATTCAGAATTCTTTGGTGCTGATATGATGCGACAAGACTGATGGGTCAATGTACACAAATTTTGTTCCATGCACAAAATTATTAATAATATTGTATAAAATTACCTCCAAGCTATGTGTATAAGGTGTATAAGAAACATAAATTAATTTTGTATATAGGTGTGGGGACAAGTGCTAGGCGTGTGAGTGGCAAACTGCTTACCCCGTAGGCACAGCCCTAGGCATGAGGCCATGTGTTACAGTCCCTATGCTCACTCCTCGACTGGTCACTTCAAGGACAGTTAGCAGAAATTGCATTGGTGGCTGCCTGTAATCTGCTTAGCTACTGCCTCAGTATATATACATGGTAACTGTGCAATAAAATCAGACCTGCTTCCTGCTTGGTCTCCAAAGGTCTTGATTAGCGACTCCGCAGCCACACTCTTCTCTACCCTGTTCCCTGGACCTCCTCGCTGGATGAGAGAGAGCCCACGCACATAGGCTTCAGTTTCATCCCCAAGATTTATCATCACCTAAATGAAAATATTCTAAAATCTGAAAAAATTGGAAATCCAGAAATACTTCGGATCCTAAACATCTTAAATAAGGGATACTCAACCTGTAATCTAATCATTTCTTATGTTGATCTTTTAGTTTCACAACCACAGTATAAGCTCCTAAATACCATGGGTGAGAGCTGGGTGTACGGGCACATACCTGTAATTCCTGGAGGCTGAGGCAGGAGGATTTCAAGCTCTAAGATAGCCTCAGCAACTTAGATCTTGTCTCAAAAAATAAAAAGGGCTGGGGTTATGGCTCAGTGGTAGAGCACTTGCCTAGCACATGTGAGGCACTGGGTTCAATCCTCAGCACCGCATAAAACAATAAACAAAATAAGGGTATTGTGTCCATCTATAACTAAAAATACTTAAAAAGGGAGGGGGCTGGGGATGTGGCTCAGTGGTTGAATATTCTTATGTTCAATCCCTGGCACCACATAAATAAATAAATAAATAAATAAATACCACAGCAAGCTGGGCACAAGTGGTCTCCACTCCAGGCAGCCTCTGTTATAGGCCTCCTCTTGGCACTGATGTGTACAGTATTTCTCATTTCTTCCAATGGTCAGATATTTGCCCCATTTCCATTTTTGAACTTGAGAAATCATAGAATTTCAGATCTGAAAAGTTCTGTTTTTATCTCTTTGTTTTTCAGCCAAGGAGAAGGAAGAGCCATGAAAGTTATCTTGCCCCAGATGCCAGTTAGCACCAGAGTCAATGACCAGCAGTAGCCCTAATCCCCATGCTGGGCCAGTGTTTCCTCTACCTGCTCTCTTCCCACTCCTGCTGAAAAATACTCATGCTCTGTCTAGTCCTCCAAGGTAGCCAAGGTGCCTTCTGGAGTTGACCATTTTGCAGGGAGTCCCAGGAAGCAGCAAAGAAGATGGGGGCCTCCGCACAAGGAAGATCTGGTGGAGGAGGTATGCGAGTGTGGGTCCTGGGGCTGGGGGGTGGAAGGAAACAGCAGTGGGTTAAAGTTAACACCAAACAATGATGCAATCACGGAATCCAAAATGAGTGCAGGTCGCTTTAAGAAAGGAGTAGCTGTAATCTGAAGCCTGCAGGACGCTGGGTTGAAAGGCAGCTTGCTGGAGCCCCTCTGTGTGCTTCTGAGAGGTTCCTGGCTGGGAGTGGAGCTGCAGCAAAACTCAGGTAAAGCCGCTCCTGTCCCGTCTGTGTCTGTGCATCAGGGGAGGTTGGGAGAGGTTCCCCTGGGCCCAGGGGACTGCAAGAGGCTGGGGTACCCCAGGGAGCAGAAAAGAGGGGTGCAAAGAGGAGGAGGTGGCGAGGCAGTATGCCCTGAAACTTGGCCATCAGGCTGAGTGGATGGGAGAAGGCAGAGGGAATGGGAGACAGAAGACCCGGAGCCAGTTACCCCCAAACCCCCACCGCTATAGAAGACACTGGAAGGACTTTTGAATGGAGTGAGTGGGGACAATGGAATGGGGGGGTGTGATGGGGAAGTTCTGAGTCAGGTCTGAGCAGCACCCAAAAGGGAAGGACACTCTCAGGGAGCTGCCTCTGCCAGGGGCAGTGGGGAAGGTGTCCCTCCAGCAGCCCAGCCTGGCTTCCGCTCACTCAGCTCCCTGACACTTTTCCAAAACCAACTGGTGCTGATTTCAAAGGTAGTTTCCCAGTGCCACCAGGCAGCTGTCCTGCTGAGGACTGGGATGGAATACGGCAGGGTCCCTCTGTTCTGTCCCCACAATTCTCTTTGGCCACATGATTTGTGAGTAAAGGCTGGGAGTCACATGAGGTCATGGCCTTTTGCAAACAACAACCACTGTTTAGCTCCACCAGTGCAAGGGGTTTGGGGCTTAGCTCTCCCAGCCCATCCTTCACATTCCCTGGGGTAAGCCACAGCTGGGAAGGCTTGGTCTGAGCCAAAGAAAAGCTGCAGGCTTCCCCAAACCCCATCTTTGTTTGGTCTAGGTCTGTCCACCAGGATTTCAGACCCCTTGGGGGTGGGCTGGGGTGGGGACCCAGGGCTGGTCCTTCTGGGGTGTGGAGAGGTGCTACTCTGGGGCAACTTGCCCTGACTCATTTAGGTTCCAAGATTTCAGGAAAAAACCTTGCCTGGGGACTCGTGGTGACACCATGGGTGGGTCAGAGGAGACCCCTAGAAACCCTTGTTTCCAGAGCCAGGGGAGAGGGAGGTGCCCTTCCTTGCACTATGGCCATGTGGCTTAAAGGCTGTGTGGTTCTGGGAGGAGGCGGAGGAGGAGCAATGGTGTTTGTCTCACAACTGGGTTTAATCTGAAACACATGTACTGGCTTAAATTTATCCTCTTAGCTTGAAGTCATCACAGTTCCTGTGCCTCTAGATTTGTGGCAGAAAGGAAGGCTGATCTTGGGCAGCAGGGATCATATTCACCTCCTTCCCATGCCCTCCCCACCCTGTAGGCCAGGAGTCTGACTCCAGTACTGCCCTTTGGCCAGGTTGGCACCATTGTCTCTGTGCCCCTGGCCAGCCAATGGTTGCCTGCCCCAGCCCACACAACAGTCATCTTTCACAGGGCCTTGCATGTGCTCTGAGGAATACCCCTTACAGACCCTTAATTTCTGCCCTCTCAGTCCCCTGGTAGGTGGCTTTAATCTCTCCACTTCCTTAATCCCTATGGCTTGAGGTGGCAGATTCAAAGACATGCCACTTACACTACCTATCCCTGCATCTAGCTCTGGGGCTGGCTTTGGACCCCTGTGCCTTCCCCTGACAGGTTCCCTCACCTCATCTTCTGTCCTCAGCCTACCCATTTGGTGACAATTCTCTATCACATAATCGGGCACTTGGACTCTGTAGGGACTCAAGAAGGTCCTCTTTTCAAGTGCATCAGAATTGCTTCCTTATGTACTCTGCCAGGGTGACCCTGTCTCCTCCCTTTTCTCTCCATTTCCTACTGCTGCAAGAGGAACCCCGAGCAGACAGCTTTCCCTCTAGTCTCGCCTCCCCCTGCATCTCACTGAATTTTCAGTCTCCAATAAACCAGTCTCTTGAGGCTCAGGCAAGGGAGGCTCCTGACAGCGCAGGGTGGGGTCTGCTGGGTGGAGAGCAATTGCAATAGTGGATGGCGTTTAGGTCTCTGTCCTGTGCCTCAGAAAGCTTTTCCTGTAGTCTCAATGGATGGTTCCTCCCTGAGCAGCAGGGCAGCCAAGTGGAAGAGCAGCTGGCTGAGAACACAGGGCTCCCTGGAACTCTCACTCAGAGCAGCGGGAAAGGAGGGCTTAGAAAGCTGAGGGTGGTTCCTGCCAGGCGTCCTGCCTTAAGCTGAGCAAACTCAGAGACAGTTTCTTTTGTTGCCTTTCATGTACTACAGTGTTGTCTGGTGGATTATCAGATTTAATTTTAAGGACTTTAGCCAACAATCACACACTGCACTCTTAACTTTTCTGATCCAATTTGCTCTGGGAAGACAGAAAAATTGGTGTGTGTGTGTGTGTGTGTGTGTGTGTGTGTAAAAGGATGAAGATAGAGCCTCAGGGTACGTATGTTGCAGGATAGACAGATGGAGGGAGACCAAGGAGCAGCCAATGGTCCTGGCTACTGACTTTGTAGCTAGAAGACCTTCTGGAGTTGGGCATGATGCTACACGCCTATAATCCCAGCAACTAGGGAGATTGAGGCAGGAGGATTGCAAGTTCGAGCCCAGCCTCAGCAATTTAGCAGGTTACTTTCTCAAAATAAAATACAAAAAGGATTGGGGATGTAGCTCAGTGGTAAAGCACCCCTGGCTTCAATCCCCAATACCAATACATAATAAGTAAGTAAATAAATAAATAGAATGCCTCTTAGAAGATTATATCTGTGACCTCCCCCCAGCTGCCTTTATCCCCTCCCATCCCTAGATCCTGACTCCAGGGGAGTGCAGAGATGAGGTGAATACAGGAGAATAGAGAGCCCTAGACCCAGATTTGGGTTGTCCCTTGTGGTCCAGCTGCCAGACCAGAGGCTGGACAGAGGGGCTTCTGCTGGGGAAGATGAAAAAAATGTGGGTGGTCTTACCAAGAAGTAGGAAGCTTTAACCTGAAGGAAAGAAGGAGTTTAAGAGCTAATTTTGAGCTGGGCTGGGATGGGGTGGGGGTATGGCTTTACATGGGAGCCATGAAGCCATAGGATTCTGGTTGAAGGGGGACACATTCAGTTCTGGGTGCCTACCAATCTCTAATTGTAAGTGCTGCTAAGACATTGTCTAATTTTTAATTCTCATAACAATAGGTAAGTACTTTATTCATTTATTGTAATACTAGGGATTGAAACCAGGGGCCTTGCTAGGCAAGTGTTCTACCACAGAGCCACATCCTCAGCCCATGTATGTATGTATGTATTTATTTATTTATTGTTTTGAGACCAGTTCTAACTAAATTGCCCAGGCTGCCCGAATTTATAATCCTCCTGCCTCAGCCTCCTAAGTAGTAGGGATTACAGGTGTGTGCCACAGTGCCCAGTTGATTTACATTTTGCAAGGAAAAAAATTATTTTTTTTAGAAGCAATTAACTTCCAGAATCAAGATTTGAACCTAAGCAGTCTGACCCTCGACCCTGCATTGCTAACCATGAGGGGAAGAACTCTTGAAATGGAAATGAGAAGGGAATGAACTCCCTTAGGCCACGGGTTTCAGGCCAGAGGAATTCAAGAAGGGTTTGAGAACTTGTGTGGGCTGGACCAGATGCTCCCATTCTTGATATTCAGTGATTCTACAGAGACTTGGTTCTGCCCCCACTGCTTTGGGAAAAAGGGTCCGAATCCTATCAAATGAGCTGGCGGGGTGCCTCCAGGGAAAAGCCTCATACATTTGTGCCAGGTCATACTCCATGCAGAGGAGCTCACTGCTGGGTCTTTACAGCTCTGGAGTTTTAGGTTTAAGGTGGGTCCTGGGACAGACAGCATGGGATAAGGGCACAGCTCCTGGGGGACAGTGGGTGAGAGGCGGGTATAGGATGGGGAGGACCCTGCTGGAAGGCAGTTATCCTCAGGCTGAGGATCCATTTCTAGGCTGGGAAGTTATTTCCCTTGCTCATCCCCCATTCTGCCCTGGGTGGTGGGCTAGGGGAGTGGCCTGTTCCTCTCTATCTCTTCCAGGTCCAGGATGCAGGTTCTTGTGCTACTGTTCTGGACTGGAGCCCTGCTTGGGTACAGCAGCTGCCAGAATGTCGCTGGTAGCTCCGAGGTCAGTGGGGATGGGAGGGCAGGTGGGGGCATCTGCTGTCCCAGCCCCTCCTTAACAGGCGGCATGGGAGATAGGACAGGGAGCTGGCACTTGGGTTCTAAGCCAGGCTCTGGCCTTTATTCCTCGAGGGCATTGGTTTCTTCAGCAGCAAAACAGAGAAAATGTCTTGCCTTGTCTTTCAAGGGATAGAGTGGGGACAGAAACAAGATCCCAAACAGTGAAAATCCAAAAGCACTTGAACAAGTCCAAGGTGCCCCTTCTGTCAAGATCTTTCCTCATTTACATGTACTACTTGTGGGGTTCATCGAGTGGGTGATGTTCTTGAGTATTTTTTCCCATGCTGACCAGGGGCACAGCAAAGGATAAATGAGCGCAGATGGACCTCTCTCCTGGCCAGAGGGCACAGTAGGGTTGCAAAGGTAGATACAGGCACTTGGAGGAAAGCCTCTGCTATATGACAGTGTGTAAGGTGGCTGTGTCACACGTCAGACAAGGCAGCTAGGAACTATCAGCTGGAGCCCTGGACTTTGTCATGGATTCTGAGTTTGAATTCTGGCTTGGTGACCTTAGACAAGTGACTCTTACCTCAGTCTCTGTTTCCTTACAGGGCCATTGTGGCCTTTCATTTATTTCTTACCTACTGAAAACCTACTCTGAAGCTGCTGGGGATGGGTAGAAATGTAAAATAATTTATTCTTGCTTTCAAGGAACTCAAATTCTTTTGAGATATTAGTTTTTTGTTTTTTTTTTTTGGTATCAGATACATATATCAACCAGTATGAATTGAAATTAGTTAAAAAGAACTAGAAAAGGTAGTTTTGGGTGTAGCTCAGTGGTAGAGTGCTTGCCTAGCATGTGTGAGGCCCTGGGTTCTATCCCCAGCATTGCTAAAAGAAGAAAGGAGGGGAAAAAAGAAGAAATGGTAGGTAGCTAATAAGTAAGTGGCAGCAGATGCTGCAAAACGATCAGAAAACCAGAAGTGCCCTTTAGATAGGGGTGGTCAGGGAAAATTTGTGATGGAGGAAAAGACATCTGGTCATGAAAGACAGGGAGGCAGAGACTTGGGAGCAGTCAGCAAGGGTGAGCAGATGGGAGCCTGGTGTGGCCTGAGTATAGGGTTTCTTGGGGAGTGGGGAGGAGAGTTCCTTGCCTTTTTTGGAGGTGGGGAATCAAACCCAGAGCCTTTCATTTATTAGGCAAGCACTCTATCACCAAGCTGCAGCCCCAACACTTTTTTATTTTTTACTCTGAGACAGGGTCTCATTAAGTTTCCCAGGCTGCCTTCAAATTTATAATCCTCCTGGCTTAACCTCCCGAGTGGTTGGGATTAGAGCTGTGTGCCACCAGGCCCAAGTGCCATTTTGAAAAAAGTGTGTCAGGCTTGCAGCTCACAGGTCACAAGTGTTTAAACCTGGCCAGACAATTTCTCTTCTGGGCAATTTCTCCCCAGCAGAGAGCTCATGCTTACCAGGGAGCAAACTCATCCCAATTCTTAAGACTAAACATAATAAGGGGCCAGAATAAAAACCCCACCCAAAGCCACAGGAGACATTATTCACTGTGTGTCTCTACTAGTCCTCATCCTCTAATCCAGGACTTCCTGTCACCCATCAGGGTTCCTTGGCTCCTGATAGCACAGGGGAACCAGTGGAGGAGGAGGACCCTTTCTTCAAAGTACCTGTGAACAAACTGGCAGCAGCTGTCTCCAACTTTGGCTATGACCTGTATCGCTTGAAATCCAGTGCGAGTCCCATGGCCAACGTACTGCTGTCCCCGCTCAGTGTGGCTACTGCTCTCTCTGCCCTTTCACTGGGTGAGTGAGCAGCTGCAAAAGGCCCCAGGTGGACCTGGGAGGAGTCCCCCACTGGGTCTGTGTGTGTGTGGCTCCAGGATGGGGAAGGGGTGTTGGGAAGGTGGCCCTGGCAGGGTACTAGTCTGTATACATGGGAGCTTGAGGGCTACACACCCACAATTCCCACCACTTATGGACACGATGACCTTACTGCTCATTCATCCCTTCCTTAAAAAAGCTGTGCTATGTGTCAGCCATTCACTCAGGTCCTGGGGATCTAACTGCCTGAGTTCACTCTCAGTGGGATCTAACTGCCTGAGTTCACCCTCAGTGGGTCACAGCTGAGTTCACAGGGGGCAATGATGAATAGGTAACCACAAATCAATCCCAACCACTACCAAAAAAAAAAAAGTGTTTGGTTTGGTGATGGAAGTGCAGGGACTTTGCCTCACCCCTACCTTTACCTCTCTCTAGGTTGGTGCCACTAAGATTTTTTTTTTTTTTTGAGAGAGAGAGAGAGAATTTTTTATTTATTTTTTTTAAAGAATTTGTTGCTTTTTTTTTAAGAGAGAGAGAGAGAGAGAGAGAGAGAGAGAGAGAGAGAGAGAGAATTTTTAATATTTATTTTTTAGTTTTCGGCGGACACAACATCTTTGTTTGTATGTGGTGCTGAGGATCGAACCCGGGCCGCACGTATGCCAGGCAAGCATGCTGCCGCTTGAGCCACATCCCCAGCCTGAGAGAGAATTTTTTAATATTTATTTTTTAGTTTTCAGTGGACACAACATCTTTATTTTATTTTTATGTGGTGCTGAGGATTGAACCCAGAGCCCTGTGCATGCCAGGCGAGTGCGCTGCCGCTTGAGCCATATCCCCAGCCCCAAAGAAAATCTTTAAGCATGCAGTTACTTTGCTTCCATTGCCCTCAAATTCCTTGCCCACCAAGAATGTCTGCAGTATTGGCTTATTTAGGCTTTCAGCACACAAAACAGAATAGGAGTATAGGGGTGGGGTGGTGGCTCAGTGATAGAGCACTTGCCTTGCATGCATGAGGCACTGGGTTCGATCCTCAGCACCTCATAAAGGCATTGTGTCCATCTACAACTAGAAAGATTAATAATAATAATAAAGAATAGGAATATAGTCTCCCTGTCTTGGCGGAGGCCTGACTGAGCCGGCAGGCAGTTATCAAGGCTCCTGTGCTTGTCTCTCTGGCAGGAGCGGAACAGCGAACAGAATCTACCATCCACCGGGCTCTCTACTATGACTTGATCAGCAACCCGGACATCCACAGCACCTACAAGGAACTCCTTGCCACTGTCACCGCCCCCCAGAAGAACCTCAAGAGTGCTTCCCGGATTGTCTTTGAGAAGAGTCAGTTGCCTTTCCAGCCTGAGGGGCTCTGTGCTCTATGCCAGGAATTTCTCTTAAACAACAGACCATGTGTGCTCAGGCCAGGCCTGGCACTGGTGGGCAGGAAGGGATCTGTGAGCCCAGAGAGGATCAGAAAGAGGAAGTAGGTTCAGTGGGAGGGTGCGGGGAAGGCAGTAACGTGAAGAAGAACAGCAATAGGTGAAAAATGTTGCTCCCTGTCCAGTTCCTGGGGAAGCTGGCAGAGGTCCTGTGGAGTCATGGGAAGATGCTGAGCAGGAAGCTGGAGCCTGCTGAGTGGTCAACTAGAACCTAAGCCCAGCATGTTCTCAAAGAGAGGGCGCTGACTCAGCTCTCGGACGCTAACCTCTGTTCCACCTCTTTTCAGAGCTGCGGATAAAATCCAGCTTTGTCTCACCACTGGAGAAGGCCTATGGGACCAGGCCCAGAATCCTGACTGGCAACCCTCGAGTGGACCTTCAGGAGATTAACAACTGGGTACAGGCCCAGATGAAAGGGAAAATTGCCAGGTCCACAAGGGAAGTGCCCAGTGAAGTCAGCATCCTCCTTCTTGGTGTGGCTTACTTTAAGGGTGAGGGTTTCTCCACTTCTCTTTGTCCAAGGGTGGATGGCAGGTGTCAGAGGGGGCTGATAAAGAGGCAAAGTCAAAGACCTTGCCCAACACAAACCCAGGGAGAATGCTAGAGGAGGATATAAGAACTGCAGGTACCTAAAGTATGCCTGCTTGTCATCTACCAAGTGCCCAGAAAGTATCTGATAAGTGTCTACGTGGTGTAAAAGCCTGATTGGCGTTGGGCACTGTGTTAGATTTCTGGCTTTTGAGTTAGACCAGGTTTAAATCCTGGCTCTGCCTTTATGAGTTGCATGACCCTGCACAAGTTTCAGAATGTTTCTGAGTCTATTTCTCATCTTTAACGTGCAGGTCACACGCTGACTTCGTAGACACTTTATATGTCTTCTCAGCACCCCTACAGCTATAACTGGAACACAACAGGTGCTCAGTAAACTATTGTTAGTTATCTACCAAAATTTTTCTAGGTATTGGTGACGTACCCAGAGACTGTTCCACAGGTCTCATTCTGAAGCCAGTGCTATTCAGATAAGGCTTTGCAGAGAGTGGTTTGAGGGATCTTCCCCTTAAAATGCTTTATGACCATTAATCAGGTAGTAGCAAGAGTGAACCCCTAAATTCCTAGAGAAAAGTCTGATGGCTTCCTATTTCAAGCATTGATCTCCAGGGAGTGAGAGAGTCGTAGTCACAGACCCAGTATATTCAAAGCCACATTAAACCAAAGGAGCTTGGTAATCCATTCAAATCAACTTATTAGCTTCTGAGTTTTCTGGACCTATTTGCTTGCAGAGGGTCCTGGAAATACTGAGGTCCAAACAATACCTGCCAACATGGAGCAGCTATTCCCTCAGGTGTCAATACAGAGCCACTGAGGACTAAGATTTCTTTGGGCAATTTTCAGTAGTGGGCTTTGGAGATACAGTGTGATCCCATGGCCTTTCTGGTCACTGGGGCTCAGGATACTCTGTTCATTTCATTTCAGGGCAGTGGGTAACAAAGTTTGACACCAGAAAGACTTCTCTGCAGGATTTCCACTTGGATGAGGAAAGGACTGTGAGAGTCCCCATGATGTCAGACTCTAAGGCCATTTTACGCTATGGCTTGGATTCTGATCTCAACTGCAAGGTCTGTAGGGGTGAAGTCAATGGAGGGTGGTGGGAGAGGTCTTAGAGAGGCAGAATGGTATAGCAGAAATAGATATACTTTTAAAATTCTACAGCTATCTGAATTTGGCCAGCTGTGTGACTTTGAGCAAGTAAATAACATCTCTCAAGTCAGGTGTGGTGGCGCATGCCTGTATCCCAGCAACTCAGGAGGCTGAGACAGGAGGATCACAACTTTAAGGCCAGTCTTAGAAACTTAGTGAGACCCTATCTCAAAATAAAAAAAATAAAAAGGGCTAGGGATGGAGATCAGGGGTAAAGTGACCCTGAGTTAAATCTCTAGTACCAAAAACTAAAACAAAATACATCTGAAAACCTTTCTTCTCAAAATTGGGTGAGAGGTAGTTGTAAAAACTTATCCTCTCAGGACTTGGTATTAGGTTTAAGGTAATGAAAAATGGATCCTCAAATTTTGGCACTCAAATATTGATGTCTTTTCATTTTTTGGGGGGATACTGGGAATTGAACTCCCTGGGACTCTCTACCATAAGCTATGTTGATACCTTTTCTTTCTTTCTTTTTTTTTTTTTTGTGTGTGTAATCCAAGCTTGTATTTTTATTTTATTTTTAAATTTAAATAATTTTATTTTATTTTTTTATTTTTAATATTTATTTTTTAGTTATCGGCGGACACAACATCTTTGTTTGTATGTGGTGCTGAGGATCGAACCCAGGCCGCACGCATGCCAGGCGAGTGTGCTACCGCTTGAGCCACACCCCCAGCCCTTAAATAATTTTAAATTAAATAAGTTGGATGACTTTTTAAAAACCTTTATTTTATTTATTTATTTTTATGTGGTGCTGAGGATCGAACCCAGTGCCTCACACATGCTAGGTAAGTGCTTTACCACTGAGCCACAACCCCAGCCACTGTATTTATTTATTTTTTTAAATAAATGACAGCAGAATGCATTACGATTCTTTTTTTTTATAACTTTATTTTTTTATTTTTATGAGGTGCTGAGGATCGAACCCATATGCTAGGCAAGCGCTCTACCACTGAGCCACAATCCCAGCTCCCCATTACGATTCTTATTACACATAAACAACACAATTTTTCATATCTCTGATTGTATATAAAGTATGTTCATACCAATGATATATTTTCTTGAGAACTTTTGTGTTTAGAATTAAGAACCAAACTCCACAAACTGTTACAAACTCCACATTGCTGGCTTTCTAAGGCTTTCATGCATACCTGACTTCTTGTAATTCTGTCAGTAGTTCTTATCCCTTTTTTGGGCTATGGATGTCTTTAGGACAATAGTGCCTGAAATACTACAGGATAAATGCCACTTGTGCACATGAACCCATTTCTGTAAGATCCCAGGGGGTTCTTGGGACCCTGACACTATTTTTTTCTGTGGGCCTTAGGTTAACAATCTTTGGTCAAAAACTCTATGATATTGCTGCTTTTGTATTGCTGTGTCCAAGACTCCCATTTCTAGTTCAATTATCTGCACAGAACAGATGATCAATCAATAAATTAATGTTGGCAAGTGGATGTGGGGAGAAAACAGAGACCTGAAATTCAATTCTACTTCTTTAGAACTATACCAGAAAATTCTTTCCACAGATAACTTCAGTTGGTATTAGGCTAAGAAGAGTATGACTTTTTTTTTTTTTTTTGATGGAACTGGGGATTGAATCCAGGGCCTTGCACATGCTAGGCAAGCACTGAGCTATATCCCTAGCACCATCACCCCATATTATTTTTTCTTTTTCAGTACTAGGGATTGAACCCAGAAGTATTCTACCACTGAGCTATATCTCCAGCCCTTTTTATTTTTTATTTTGAGAAAAGTCTTGCTAAGTTACCCAGACTGGCCTTGAACTTGAGATTTTCTTGCTTTACTCAGGCTCCTGAGTTAATGGGATTATAGGTGTGTTCTTCTGTGCATTTTCTTTTCTTTTTCTTTTTGTAATACTGGGGATTGAACTCAGGACATGAGGTCAAACAAACAAACAAAAAGAAATACTTCTCCGTCCATTGACCATGATGCTAATAGCCCATATACATAATTCTAATTTGCTGCTTTCAATCTTTTACACACGAGGCAAGCACTCTAGCACTGAGCCACATCCCTAGCCCTAAAGCCTGTTTTTTTTTTTTTTTGGGGGGGGGGTGGGTAACTGGGGATTGAACTCAGGGGCACTCAACCACTGAGCCACATCCCCAGACCTATTTTGTATTTTATTGAGAGACAGGGTCTCACTAAATTGCTTTTGCTGAAGATGGGTTTGAACTCTTGATCCTCCTGCCTCAGCTTCTTGAGCCACTGGGATTATAGGCATGCGCCAATGTACCTGGCCCAAAGCCTACTTTTTGAAGGAATATTCAGAGATGACTTTCTGCCAGAAAACAACAACCTAGGAGACAACTGTTACATAGATCAGGGTCTCGGGACACACAAGGCCTGGGCCCCACCAGAAGAAAGAGGAAGACAGCTCTTGGTGTATGTCCATTCCTAAGCTCTTGGGCTGTAAAGGGCTGACCCTTATGCCTCCTCTCTGTTGTTTCAGATTGCCCAGCTGCCCTTATCCGGAAGCATGAGTATCATCTTCTTCTTGCCCCTGAAAGTGACTCAGAACTTGACCTTGATAGAAGAGAGCCTCACTTCTGAGTTCATTCATGACATAGACCGAGAACTGAAGACTATCCAAGCAGTCCTGAGCATCCCCAAGCTGAAGCTGAGTTATGAAGGCGAAGTTACCAAGTCCATACAGGAGATGAGTATGTTTGCCACACCCCTTTGCTCTCAGTGGGTGGGGTGGCATGAAATCTTCAAGCATTCTGCCTTGCTAAGCAGAACTCAAGAGTTCTATGGCCTTTGTGGAAAGCCCTGCACATGTTCTCACATGTCCTCCATTCTACTAGTTCTGGAGGGGAAGACTGGACTGCCTTCCTGTCACTCATTCCTCAGCCCCATCACAGGTCCTGTAATAGAAGCTCAGAATACTGCCCCTTCAGACAGGTCTGTTTGACCTGTTTTTTTTTTTTTTTCTTTTTAATATTTCTTAGCGGTCAATGGGCCATTACTTTATTTATTATTTATATGCGGTGCTGAGGATCAAACCCAGGGCCTTACACATGCCAGGCAAGTGCTCTACCACTGAGCTACAGCTGCAGCCTGTTTGACTGGGATTTCCCCAAGCTGAAGTGCTCAGGGGTGGAGCACTTACCCCTCAGCCTACTCAGAGGTCTACATAATTCACAGAAGATCAAAAGCAGGGCTCCATTCCAGCTTGCTTGCCTTTTTGAGAATCAGGATATAGGATTTAGGATTTATCCTGTTGTGTTGGATATGGGTGGGTTTTAATGGGAATCTCTATCTTTGCAGAACTGCAATCCTTGTTTGAGTCACCAGACTTCACCAAGATCACAGGCAAACCTATCAAGCTTACCCAAGTGGAACACAAGGCTGGTTTTGAGTGGAATGAGGATGGGGCAGGAACCACCCCGAGCCCAGACCTCCAGCCTGCCCACCTCACTTTCCCCCTGGAATATCACCTTAACCAACCTTTCATCTTTGTACTGAGGGACACGGACACAGGAGCCCTTCTCTTCATAGGCAAAATTCTGGACCCCAGGGGCACTTAATGCTCCACTTCAACATTCTAGAACCCTAGAAGAAAACCCCAGGAGGGATGACAGATTATACATTACATGAAGGATGCCCCTAGTTTCAATGTATACTTTGCAATAAAAGAGCTTTCTCCTTAACTTTTGTTACTTTGTTCCGCTTCCAATTTTGAGCTATGAAGATACATTTCCTACTTAGTGCCTGGTTCTGTTCAAACTCTGCTGAAAATTACCATTTATAAATATTTTTAGTTATCTGTGTTGTATAATGCAGGGACTGATTTTCTGCTGTGGGAGTCTTTATGTATTAGTCCTACTGCTAATCCCTCCTGGAGGGCACCTCCCATACCCACAGTCACTGAAGCATGTTGTCTAAGTCAACTTTCCATTACTATAACAAATACCTGAGACAATTAGTAAGGGAAAAGGTTTGCCAAGTGTACAAGTGGTGCACGCCTGTAATCCTAGCTACTCAGGAGGCTGAGGCAGGAGTATTTCAAGTTCAAGGACAGCCTGGGCAACTAAGATCCAAAGTAGCACAAGCTTTTAAATAAAACATACTATGAGGCTGAGGCTGTGGCTCAGTGGTAGAGCGTTTGCCTAGCATGTATGAGGCACTGAGTTCGATTCTCAGCACCACATATAAGTAAATGAATAAAATAAAGGTCTATACATCTAAAAAGATATTTAAAAAATATGATTTTTTTCGGGGGTGGGAGGTGTACTGGGAATTGAACCCAGGGGTGCTTTACCACTGAGCTATCCCCCTAATTCTTTTTATTTTTATTATTTTTTTTAAATTTTGGGTACTGGGGGATTGAACCAAGTGGTGCTTAACCACTGAGCTATATCCCCAGCCTTTTTTATTTCTTAATTTTGAGACACGATCTTGCTAAGTTGTTAGGGCCTTAATAAGTTGCTGAGGCTTGCTTTGAATTTGTGATCCTCCTGTCTCAGTCTCTGAGCCGCTTGCACCACTGTGCCAAGCCCTTTTTATTTTATTTATTTACTTATCTATTTAGTACTGGATCTCATTTAGTACTAGGGATTGAACCCAGGGGCATTTAACCACATTCTCAGCTCTTTTTATTTTTTAAAATTCTGAGTCAGGGACTCACTAAGTTGCTTAGAGTCTCACTATGTTGCCCAGGCTGGCCTTGAACTTGTGATCCTCCTGCCTCAGCTTCCTGAGTAACTGGGATTACAGGTGTATATCTGGCTAGAAACAATTTTTTAATGTTTATTTTTTAGTTTTAGTGTATACACGATATCTTTATTTTATTTTTATGTGGTGCTGAGGATCAAACCCAGTACCCTACCAGTAGTGATACAGCTCTACCACTTCTACCACTTGAGCCACAACCCCAGCCCTAGAAATAATTTTTTTTTATAAAGCATTTAAAGAAATTTCCCAAGTACACATAAAATGGGTCTTGATATGTAAAATTCTAAATGTATCCTTTTTTAAAAAAAATATTTATTTAGTTGTAGATGAACATACAGTATCTTTATTTATTTTTATGTGGTGCTGAGGATCGAACCCAGTGCCCCACACATAAGAGGCAAGCACTTTACCACTGAGCTACAGCCCCAGTCCCTGTATCCTTTTTTTTTAAAAACAAATCTTTTAAAATATATTTTTTAGTTATACATGGTCACAAATTCTTTATTTTTATGTGGTGCTGGGGATCAAACCCAGTGCCTCATATGTTCAAGGCAATCGCTCTGCCACTGAGCCACAACCCTAGTCATAAATGTATCCTTTAAGGAAGTACACCTGTATTACAAAGTACAAGAGAGCCTTCTTTAGGAACATGAAACATGCTAAATGTTTGGAATGGAATAACTACAGAAATTGCCTGCAACTGTCTAAAATTTTTTTTCTTGAAAAATCCCTAGCAAAAAATCTATTGGCTACTCCTTTGCCACAGTGAGTTATTAGAGGAGAAACTACATTCTGCCTGATTTCCATTCAACAAGTGTTTGAATGCTAACCTGTATGTTAAATATTCAGTTTTTTGAAAGCTGCCACCAGCTTAGGACTATTCATTTCCTGACTATAATGCCATGGCAACTGACGGGTGCTTCTTGGGCATGGCCAGGGTAGGTAAGCCTTCAAAAGTAGAGTTGGCCTGGCCTTCCTTCCCACCAGCTCATCTGAACCACTTGGTCACCAGTAGTGATACAGCAGCAGGGTTCAGACCTAAAGACTCCCACAGTCTCGATTGGGATGGGGTCTGGATTATTGCTACATATCCTCATGGAATGCCATCCCTATCTTCCGTTTCTTGGGTTTGAAACTACAAAAAGCAACATCCACACATCCTCACAACTTCTCTTTTGGTGGCATTGGGGATCAAACTCAGGGTCTCATGCACTCTACCACTGAACTACATCCTCAGGGCCCTCTCAGCATTTTTTGAAGTCCTCCATCTTCCTTCCAGGTACTCACACAATCTGTATTTCATTTGTCAGCTTGTGGAGGTTTGGTAGAAATAAGTAGTCTCTTTTCAAATTGCTAACAGGTAGAACTCAAAAAAGAGGCACATGTGTTATCAAGTCATTCCTATGAGTTTGATTTTATTAGTGTTTGGCTAGTGAGTTTCCCAAAAGGATTCAAAGCCAGGGAATAAGGACTGGTAAAACACAATACAGAGTTGCCATTACAGGAAGAAACTGTCCAACAATAAAATGGCCCCATATTTATTTTTTTATGTTACAATTTAAACTTCCCTGGTTTTAACAAAGGATTTGAGGAAGCTAGATGCTGTAAGTGGAATTCTGTGTCTCTAGGGTGAAGAAGCCATGATGGTTTCTTGCTTTATAATTATTTTTCAATTACAGTATAACTACTAAGAGTTGAAGTTCCCACTGGAGTGGTATGCAACATTTCATTACTACTAGAAACCATAGGAATGTTCCAGGGAAACAGATTCTCATCACTGAGTGAAATGGAATGTAGCCAAAACCCCAGGCTAACATCCAGATGCCTGCAGATCAGCTACAACCCTTTTAAAGGGTTTGGATTCTCTAGATACTAGTTGTAAGTCTTTTCTGGGGCCTGGGAATTTTTTATTGGAGGGCGATTAACTACTTCAAGACATATTCATCAAAATAGGTGTGCATCTCTCTCCAACTGCAGTGTCCTCCCTGCCCCTCATAATACTTGGCATGGGATAGCTGGGCAAATCCTGCCTTCTCTGATGACAGGTTGGCAGCAAAAGAATCTCTTTACTCTGCCATGATTCCTTTCCAGTGGGCCAGAGTCCTTTAGGGACTTTACCCTAAAGGCCCTGCAGGAATGGGTGGCAAGTCCAATAAAAAGGATCTCATCTTTTGCAGCTCCTGGATCTCATCACTCCAAGGGCCACAGTGTACCAACAGAATTTTTTCTGCCTTTTGTATGGTGTTCAGAGCTTCAGGTACTGCAAACCTGGACCAAGGGAGGTAAGAGGAGTTAGTTTAGCCAGTCGAGCAAATATTAATTGAAGGCTTTTTCACATACTATGAAAGACAGAAAGTCATCTAAGTTCATTTCTATCCTCCAGGATCTTATAATCTAGGATAAGACACTTTCACAAATACACTGCAAGGTAAGCTTGAGGGAAAAAAAGCTATGATTAAAAGTATAAAGATTCCGGGCTGGGGATGTGGCTCAAGCGGTAGCGCGCTCGCCTGGCATGCGTGCGGCCCGGGTTTGATTCTCAGCACCACATACAAACAAAGATGTTGTGTCCGCCAAATACTAAAAAATAAATGTTGAAATTCTCTCTCTCTCTACCTCTCTCTCACTCTCTCTTTAAAAAAAAAAAAAAAAAAAAAAAAAGTATAAAGATTCCAGAATCCTTGGGGCAGGGTTGTGGCTCAGCGGTAGAGCGCTGCCCTTGCACCTGTGAAGCACTGGGTTTGATCCTCAGCACTACATAAAAATAAATAAGTAAAATAAAGGTTTTCTGTCCATCTACCACTAATAAAGAAAGAAAGAAAGACTCCAGAATCCTGAGAAAACAGGTAAATTTAAAGCTCTAATCTGATATTCATGCAAGGATTATTTTCATTATTATTATTGAACCCAAGGGCACTTAACCACTGAACCACATCCCAAGACCTTTTGATTTTTAATTTTGAGACACTAAATTGCTTAGGGCCTCGCTAAATTCGTGAGGCTGGCTTTGAGTTTGTGATCCTTTTGTCTCAGTCTCCTAAATTGCTGAGACTGTAGGCATGTGCTATCGTGCCTGATTTTTATGCAATATTTATGAAACAGTGTTCATCCTAGGGCAAACAAGTCTACCCGGACCAAACTCTGCACTCTTTCCTCTCTTTGACCCTATGACTCACAATCTTACATTTAAGCTTCATATGCTTCAAACACTTTCTCATACCAATGTACGCCAATGACAGTTATTATTAAGGCTGGAGATATTACATCCAGAAATACTGAAATCAAATCCCCTGCAATAATCTCAGTAAAGAAAGTCGGTGAGGCATCACCTCATCAACCCTACTGTTCCTTAATCTTTTTTTTTTTTTAAGTAGATGGACACAATACTTTTATTTATTTTATTTTTACATGGTGCTGAGGATGGAACCCAGTGCCTCACACATGCTAGGCAAGTGCTGTACTACTAAGCTTCAACCCCAGCCCTCCTTACTCTTAATGTTTGTTTGTTTGTTTGTGTATGTGTGTGGTGCTGGAGTTTGAACCCAGGGCCTCACAAATGCTAGGTAAGTGCTCTACAACTGAGCTATTCTCTCAGTCCACTTATATATTTACGTATGTACCACTGGCCTCTACTCAACAGATGCTAGTGGCACCCCTCAACCCCAGTTATGGCAATCAAAACTGTTTCCAGACAGTACCAAATACTGTCTGAGGGTAAAAATCATTCCTGGTTGAAAACAACTACTTTAAAAGGAATAGGATGCAAACTAGGGAAAAAGCAGAGCCCCTAGAGTTGAGGTTGTTGGAAATAAGAGCGAAGGAGGTGTGATTAACCAGAGAGGAATGAGAAGGAATGCTATGCTGGTGGGTGGTGGGCTGCCAAGAAAGTCCCCCTGGGAAATTTGCTTCAGATTTAAGTGCTTTCCCTGTATCTCTCTGGAGGAAAGTTTAAAGCTTCAAGTTTGTCAGTATAACAGAAAGCAAAGATCTTTTCTGAAGAGGAAAGAAGAAAGCTTCAATATGCTTAAAAGTATCATAAAAAACATTCACAGAGGGCTGGGGATGTGGCTCAGAGGTAGAGCACTTGCCTACCATAAGTGAGGTACTGGGTTCAATCCTCAGCATCATATTAAAATAAATAAAGATATTGTGTCCACCTATGTAACTAAAAAAACAAAACAAACAAACAAAAACCCCATAAACAGAAGCACCTAGTAAAAAACAGGACAACGTATCCTGGCAAAGCACTAGGAAAAGGGAAAGACTCACCCATTGAATAAGACTTGGGCCAGTTTGAAGAGTTCATGGCCCATTTCAACACTGGATGGCCCATGGCGAGCCTCAACCACTCGGAGACTCTTCTGTAGGTGGGCAGCTGATTTTTGCCAGTCCCCTGTGAGAAAAGGAAAATCTTACTTCTATAAAGGACCATAGTCTGCCAGGTGCGGTGGCACATGCCTGTAATCCTCAGCAGCTTGGGAGGCTGAGGCAGAAGGATTGCAAGTTCAAAGCCAGCCTCAACAACTTAATGAGGACCTGTCTCAAAATAAAAAATAAAAAGGGCTGGGGATGTGGCTCAGAGGTTAAGTACCCCTGGGTTCAATCCCTGGCACAAAAACAAAAAACAAAACAAACAAACAGAACCCACAAAAAATATCCATAGTCAAGGGCTGGGGATGTAGCTCAGTGGTAGAGCACTTGCCTAGCATGCATGAGTTCAATCCCAGCACTGTAAAAACAGAGTTAACTTGGATAAATTTCCAGGGTACAGAAAGCCAAATGGAAGGGAGAACAGCCTCAGTTTAAAGACTGAAAAAAACAACCAGAAAAGGAGAGGATTGGGACAAAGCACACGATGCTGGAAATGAAAACACACACCATACCTAAGGCAGCATAGGCTTGGGCCAAGTCATCCTCAATTTCTCCCACCATGGTGTGCTCAATTGACAGGAAGCTCTCTGCATCTTGCTGGCATCTCAACAACTGCTGAATGGCTTTCTCTGTTAATTGAGGGGGGGGAAAAGCCTCACTATGGACACAGACCCAGTCCTGGAAATGAGAATCTAGGTCTCAAGTTCTGTATACATTAGACTGAATGTGGAAACTCCCCCTTCTTCCCTGGGTTGTTACCTCTTCCATGATGGTCAAGCTCTAATTTGAAAGGGTAAGGGGGAGTCCAATAACTACTTTTCTGAAGAGAGGATTCTTTCCTTTCTATTTTTCTTCCCCTCTTCTTCTTCTTCATTTTTTTTTTTTTTTTTTGGTGATGCTAAGGATCAAACCCAGGGCCTCATGCATGCTAGGCAAGCACTCTACCACTGAGCCATACCCTGGTTCAAGAACAGGATTCTTGTCTCCACTGGGCACATGCCTCACTGCTCTCTAGAAGAGACAGGCCCTTATGAGGGCAGAACAACCTTCAAAGGAAGTTAGGTCATTAAGGCTGTGGAGTTAAAATAAATGATACTGAATTTTTGGAATTGCATAAAGCTCATGGAAGTCAGAGATAACCCTTCAGCGGTCAGGATAAGTTCAGATAGTTGTAACTTAGCTATCTGATGCCTAAGACAACAACAGCTTGAACCATCTGGAACTTTTTCAAGGACACCAGTCTGAGCTGGTTAGGGTTTAGTCTCACTGGCCTACATAGCCATCTTGTGGCTGGTGTGGGGATAATTGAATTCAGTTCTTCAGTCATTCCTGAGTATATTCAAGTGCAAGATGTTTTGAGAATAAACGAAAGAGAAGGGGCTGGACGATCAAAGCAGGGAGCCAGTCTCACCTAGCTTACCACTTCTGAGAAGCTTCTGGGCCATCCCAACCTGCTGCTGAAGGTCTTGTAACCGAGAGACCAGGTGATCCCTGCTGACAGATTCTGTACAAGATCTGTTGCCACAGCTCAGCACATCATCTCCCTGTGGAAGTCAGCACTGTCTTTATTCCTTTAGCGGAGTCAGTTATTAATATTGCATGTGCTTACATTATAGGATCACTGACATGATGGGGAAAAGAGATTCCTGCAATAATACATCAGGATCAAAGCCTGACTGAATTTCATCTGATAGCAGCTACTCCAATGAAAGCAGTAGCTGATCTAATCCTGAGATTTCATTTTTGGAACAGAACTGTTCCAGAATAGTTCACAATTTCTTTCCATCTCAGCACCCCTCTCTTACCTCTCTTTGGGGCCAGACCTTTGAATGACAAACACATTTCTAGTGGTTATTAAGAAAAGCCAACAGAGCTGGGTGGTACAAGCCTATAATCCCACCTACTCAGGAGGTTGAGGTAAGAGGATTCAAGTTTGAAGCTAGCCTGGGCAACTTAGGAAGACTGTCTCAAAATAAAATATATATTAAAAAAAAAAAAAAAGGTCGGGGTATAGGTCGGGGTAGAGCACTTGCCTAGCAAACGCACAAGGCCCTGGGTTCCATCCCCAGCACAAACAAAAAAAGAAAAGGATTTGACCTTAGGTTTGCAATTCCAGATTTCCAAATAATTAGCTCTGTATTCTACTTCCTAAGAAGAACATTGTTTCCTCTGGCAGAGGATAAAACCTATAGGTGGGCATTTGCTGTGTTAAAGATGCCAATATCTATGCCATCAAGAGCAATCCAATTTCTCCTGGAAATCCTCCTAATTCCTTCCCTAGTATCCCATAGCTGAGGTGTTGGTCATGTGGCTCCGATGTGGCCCATTCCTCTGGCCCAAATGGCTGGAGGACAACTATGGGCTCTGATTTTCCTTCAGCCACAGTCATTGGTCAATGACACAATAGGACTTTCTGTCTAGACTATGTTGGAATGGCACACATTTTCATCCTCCTGGGCAGGGAGGATAAGGAGACTGAGCTGCTGGATGTTCTTGCATGGTGACAGGGAAGTCTGTCTGAGGAGGGGGCCAGCACAGAGGGAATGGAGCTGAAAGAGGCAAGCAGAAAAATAGGGTCCTGGTGACATTATTTGAGCCTCTGAATCAAAATGAATCTAAAGTAGCCTTACCGGAGGATTTTTTTTTTTTAAATGGTACTGAGGATTGAACTCAGGGGTGCTCTACCACTAAGCTCCATTCCTATTATTATTATATATTTTAATTTGAGATAGGGTCTAAATTGTCCAGGCTGGCCTCAGTCTTGCGATTTTCCTTCCTCAGACTCCCAAACTTCTGGGATTATAGGCATGCACTACTGCCCTGGGACTTCACAATGATTTACTTGAGCAAATAAATTTGTTGTCTTTTTTCCCTCCTTAAATCAGTTTAGATGGGATTTTCTGTCATTTGCAAGAGAAACATCACTAACTCCAACCTTTCCCTGTGGTTCCTTTGGAGGGAAAAACCCATGTGTGAGTTTTCTGTTGTGTTAAACAGAGTTGATATTATTGCTCTCAGGACCCATAAGCCCCCTAGGCTTCCTCCTAAAGTTTGATGACCTTTGGGCTCAGAACAATGGAGAAGGGAGAAGAGAGATTTACCTGCATGATTGTTCTGCAACTGTTACAACAGAATGCTTCCCACCTGGGCCCTGCAGCTGTTCTGAGCTCCTCAGTGTGGCAGGCTGGACAACTGCAGTCAAAGAAGTACTGAGACCTCAGCTTCTGCTGCCTTTCAGCAACACCCATCCGGTTCTGGTGAGGTCCTGGAGAGAGATCACCCTCGGCTGAGACTTAAAGCAAGAGAGTTCAACACCACTTAAAAGCCTTTAGCAGAGCTGAGGGGCTGGACAATCATTCACCATGACTAATGAACATTACTCAAACATTTGTAAAACTGGCTACTGAAATAAATAAGCTTCCAAGTTGCTGGGACAGGAAGAAAAAGAAGCTGAGAAGGTGCTTCTAGCCCCTTTTCAGTATCGGAGGCTTTTAGGGATTAAGTGAATGACACGATAGCTTCGTTATGATATGGTTTCGTACTATGATAAGAAGACCTTTTTTCTTTTCTTTATTGCCCCTGGCCTGTGGATGCCTTTTCCAGGAAACAAACACTGGACAGGGGAAGGCATCTGCCCATCGACTTGCTCATTCCTCTGCACCTCGTCCTTTCAGTTGGTGAAGGGCAAGACAGTGGTGAGGAGGGCTGGCTCACCATAGCAGTGGAGAATCTCTTGCCCTTTTCTAATCCTTTGTGCTGCCCGAATGGTGGCGACGGTGCTGGTGAAGGACATGCTGGTGTTGGGGCTGCAGGAGTGGTTCAGGAGGCTGACAACAGGGAAGATACCTGTGGCAAGGCGTACTTGCCTGCTGTTGGCAATGATGCTCTCTTTAGATCCTGAAAGTGCAATAGGCAGAAGGAAAAATGTATCAGAACATAAGTCCTAGCCTCATCAGCCATTCTTCTGATGAGCTAGGCAGCTGGGCCTGAAGCCCATCTGAGTCATGGCTCCACAGTCAGATACAATATAAATTGGATGGAACATGACTCACAGCAAATTCTGGTCCCCAGGAAGCAAAGTGAACGAACACATGAAAAGTCCACTGGAATCCTGGAACATAGCCATTGTGTCTCTACACCACATGCACAAAAACCCCAAGATTGGAATTTATAAAAAAAATAATAAAAAAGGCATTATCAGTAGGGAGCCTTCTAGACAGTTTCATAACATTCACAAGGACACAGAAACTAGAGTACGTGTTGGGATTATTTCCCAAAGTCTAAGTGCTTTTGTTTAACAGGTCCTTGGATGGTTAACAGAACAAGTGGCCTAGCTACCATTCTGAACTTTATATATTTAAGTAGGCTTAAGTGTATATAAAAAAAATCAATATTTCTGCTGTGTATAGAAATTTGCCTGTAAATCCAATAACTTGGGAGGCTGAAGCAGCAGGATTGCAAAGTTCAAGGCCAGTCTCGGCATCTTAGCAAGAACCTATCTCAAAAAAAAAAAAGGACTGGGTGCCATGGCACACGCCTATAGTCCCAGCAACTTGGGAGGTTGAGACAGGAGGATGAAGAGTTCAAAGCCAGGGCTGGGGTTGTGTCTCAGTGGTAGAGCACTTGCTTAGCATGTGTGAGGCACTGGGTTCGATTCTCAGCACCCCATATAAATAAGTGAATAAAATAAAGGTCCATCAACATCTAAAAAAAAAAAAAAAAAGTTCAAAGCCAGCCTCAGCAACTTAGTATGGCCCTAAGCAACTCAGTGAGACCCTGTCTAACAGACTATAAAAAAGGGCTAGGGATGTGGCTCAGTGGTTAAGTGCCCCTGGGTTCAATCCCTGGTACCAAACAAACAAACAACCACCCCACACACACACACACACACACACAAAATAGGGCTGGGAATGTAGCTCAGTAGTGGAGTGCCACTCAGTTCAATTCCCGGTACCCCCCGCCACCTGCCAAAAAAGGTTTGGGATGTAGCTCAGTGGTAGAAAAGTCACGTGATAGAGTAACCTGGGTTCAATCCCCAGTACAAAACAAAAAATTCATATTTTTTACACTCTCTTCTCCATCCTGCCCTTTGTCCCACTTTTATGGGAAACCAGTTAGAAGTTTTTATGGAAGCTGACTCTCTGTGCTAGCTTTACTGAAGACAGTCTCATGCTCCAAATAATCTCTTTGCCGCCCAATTGACCAGCAACTTAACTATATGATTGAAAATCAGGAAGAAAGAAAAAGGCCTCCTGTAGTGAGCCTGCTCTGCACCAAAGCTCTTGAACTTATGTTCACATTCGAGTTGTTCAGCTCATGTGCTGGCCAATGTGTTAGATTTCTGTCTCTGTGACCTGAGAAAATCAACTTCAAGAGAGGAGAAGTTTATTTTGGTTCATTGCTTCAGAGGGTGCAGTCCATGCTTGCCTGGCCCTGCAGCTTTGGGCCTGTGGTGATACAGTGCTTCATACTGGGAATGCACAGCAGAAGCAGCTTCTCATCTCACGGTGGCCAGAAATGGGGAACAGGGTGGGGTCCTAGGATCTCCTCAAGGGAACACCCTCAATAACCTAATTTCCTTCCACTAGGTCCTACTTCCTAACAGTTCTACCACCTCCCAATAGTGCCACAGCCTGGTAACCAAGCCTTAGCATATGGGCCTGTGGGGGACATTTAAGACCCAAACTGTAACAGCTATTTGCTTTCACTTTGGACACAGTGCTACTTGATTTGGTTATGTAGTTTCTTTCTTTCTTTTTTTTTTTTTTTTTAAATATTTATTTCTTAGTTTTCGGCGGACACAACATCTTTGTTTGTATGTGGTGCTGAGGATTGAACCCGGGGTTGCATGCATGCCAGGCAAGCGCGCTACCGCTTGAGCCACATCCCCAGCCCTGGTTATGTAGTTTCTAAGGCCACAAAAGTTCAGAAGCAGGGAACTAATACCAGCAGACTATAAGAGGCAGGTTTTTCTGACAATGAAAAGGAGACAGGTGACAGAATGAAAATGGAGAAAGAAAATTCACATAAGAATAATAGCTTTAGGGCAAAAACACCAGTACAGCAACACTAGTACCACTGGGTATGGTGGTGAACATCTGTATCCCAGTTACTTGGGAGGTTGAGGCAGGAGGATTGTAAATTTGAGGTCAGCCTCAGCAGCCTAGCAAGGACCTCAGTAATATTTTTAATAATTTTCTTTAAATTGCAGATGGACACAATATCTTTATTGTATTTTCTGAATTTTTTTTTTTTTTTTTGGGTACAGGGGATTAAACTCAGGAGCACTCAACTACTGAGCCATATCCCCAGCCCTATTTTGTATTTTTTTTAGAGTCTTACTGAGTTGCTAAGTGCCTTGCCATTGCTGAGGCTGGCTTCGAACTTTCAATCCTCCTGTCTCAGCCTCCTGAGCTGCTGGGATTACAAGTGTGCACCACCACTCCCGGCTTTATTTTATTTTTATGTGGTACTGAGGATCGAACCTAGTGCCTCATGCATGCCAGGTGAGCGCTCTCCCACTGAACCCTGGCCCCATCCCAAAGACATAAGTAATTTAGCAAGAACCTGTCTCAAAATAAAAAAGGGAGGGGAGGGGCTGGGGATGTGGCTCAAGCGGTAGCGCGCTCGCCTGGTATGTGTGCGGCCCGGGTTCGATCCTCAGCACCACATACAAACAAAGATGTTGTGGACGCCTAAAACTAAATAAATATTAAAAAAAAAAAAAAAAGGAGGGGATGTGGCTCAGTGGTAAAGTGCCCCAGATTAAATTCTTGGTATTAAAAAACAAAACAAAAACAAAAAAACCCCACAACACTAGTACCACTCCAGATTGATTGATTCAGTAGGGACTGAACCCAGGAGCACATTTTCTCTGAGCTACATCCTCAGCCCTTTTTATTTTTTAATTTTGAGACAGGATCTTGCTAAGTTGCTGAGTGTCTCATTAAATTGCAGAGGCTAGCCTCTAACTTGCAATCTTCCTGCCTCAGCCTCCTGAGTCACTGGGATTACAGGTGTGCTCAGCACCCCTCAATTTTTATCACACTTGTAATATTTCACCTAACCAGAGGCTCCTAGATAGATAGCACATGTGCATAGGATTTTGTAATAGCCACACATATCCCAGGAGTACATATGTTATAGCCATCCCGAAAGGCTTAAGTTATGTTCAGAAGCCTCAGTGTAAGCATGGGAAAGATCATATTTCCAACAATCTGGTTGAAACATGAAAGATACTAATACTTAAAGGAAAACATTTAGTTTTCTAGAAAACTAGAAAGCCATTAGATAATTGTGATATTACTGTGCATATGCTAGGAATCTCAACAAACCATTAACAAGGAAATAAATATTCTAAATATAAATGTAATGAATATAGAAAATATCATGAACCATCATGTGAAAATGTTCTATAAAGGAAAACATTAAATACAGGAATTATGTAGTCTCTCTGCAGACAATTCTATTATCTGTTGCTATGGGGGACAAGAATAGAACAAGTAAATACAATTCACAGGGAATCCAAATGCCTTGATTTTAGTCAATAATTCTACAAATTGTATTAAAACCTTTCATCAGAACTTCTCCTAAGTGCTTGACTAATTTTAGTTTCCTCTCCTCCCTCCTCCCCGTTTGTCCGATGTCTACCTTCTGGAGTATGTGCTAATGAGCAGTGAAAATGCTAAAAGGTAGGCAGCAGGAAGGAGCAGTGCAGGGCATGAACAATTTGGAGTCTGAATAATCAGCCTCGGCATAATTAAAAGTTGACTTGCATTCCCAACTACTGATAACTGGCAATCCATATTAGAACAGTTGCTAAAATTTTCCCAGAAAAAATGATCACAATACAGTGAGTAATAATGTCAGCTCTGTGAATTATTTATAGATTATCCTCTAGTAGAAGTAGGCCCAGGAACTGAGTGGGGTGCTTATGTCAGAGTTGAATGTCTCTCTAATTATTTCTAAAAAATTAAGTATTGATTTTTAAAAATTGCTCAATATTTTGCATTAGTCATCTATTAGTAGAGATAATAGAAAGTGAGAATATGTAAGTGCCTTATCAAGCAAATTTAATGTGTGACATTTTGTACTTAAAAAAAAAAAAGAGGGAGTGATTCTTTACAAAGGTTGTCTTGCTAATATCCCTAATGCATTTAAAACGAAACTTAAGTTAAAAAAAATTCATTCACAATACTTGCAGACTGTATCTACTCTGGTCCACATCTTGTAAAACCAGAAATGTGAGTCAAGTAATCAAGGACCCAAACTAAAAGTAGATTTCTAGGTTGTTGAAGAGTAAAAGCAAAGGGCAGTGAAGTGATGTGAAGCTACTTGTGGCTTTAGTAAGCTTTGTTTTGACATGAATCCAGATGCACTCTGGCTGTGCCACTGAGACAGAACCATGCACACCTGTGTCAAAGTCTAGGATGTCATCGGTGGCCAGTTCTAGCCCTTGAGATGGGCACCAGAGAGAGGTTTCCAAGGAGCTTTGATTAAAAAGGATTTATGAAAAGATAATAATGTACATTTTTATAGGTTTTTGTCAAAGTCTATCCTAGTTAACACTTTAATCCTTCTTCTGTGCTACTAATGAAACAGCTGCTAATGAAATTCAATGAGAACACTAAACTGGGAGGTGTTGGAACCCCAAAGAAATAATAAAGAGGGATATAACAAGATTAGAAATATGAGCAGACTAAAACAGAATTAGATTGAATTAAAAAAATGAAAGTGAACATTGCTGGTGGGCATGTAACTGATACAACTTACCTGGAGGGCAAATTTGCAAAATGTATCAAGTGCCTTAAAATGCTCATATTAAAAAAAGTTCTTAGCATTTGGATTATTTTTGTTATAAAAAACTAATTAAGGGGCTGGGGAGTAGCTCAGTGGTA